CTGTTCACTGTATATTGTTCGCTTTTAAGTGTATATATACTGTTTTGTTCATTATTCACTGTTAATTGCATACTGTTCATTGTTTCTTATTCATTGTTCACTGCTTATCGTTTATTGTTCACTATCTATTATTTATCTGTTCACTGTCTATTATTCACCTATTTCTTATACATTTCACTGCACAGTCTATGTAGACATTCATCATTCGGAGTGCATTTGTTTATTTCACTGTCATTGTTGTTCATTACTATCGTCACTGTCGTCACTATTGTTCATGTTGTCATTGTCATCACTGCCATTACTGTTGTCAATACTGTCACTGTAGTAACTGTTGTCAGTCACCAAAGTTGTCACTCTGTACTGTCAACACTTTCGTCACTGCCTGCACTGACATCACTGGTGTCGCTATCTTCACTGTCATTACTTTTGACATCGTAGTCACTATCTGCACTGACGTCACTGTCATCACTTTCGTCACTTTTAGTGTAGTGACTGCCTGCACTGTCACCACTATCGTCACTGTACTGTCGTCACTGCCTCGTCACCATCTGCGGTTACGGTGCCGTCCTGTTTCACGCCTCTTCCCGACATCAAGTTACTTTCCCATATATACTGTACATGCTAGTAAACTGGAAGTCTGTAAGTTGCACAGTTTTCAAGAAAATTCAATTTTCAAGAATCCTAAGGAGAGAGGTAGCCTAATATGACGTAGGCAAATGCTGCCGTGTTGAAGACACTTCTGGCATAGAGGGAGAGAAAGAGAAAGAGAGAGAGAGAGAGAGAGAGAGAGAGAGAGAGAGAGAGAGAGAGAGAGAGAGAGAGAGAGAGAGAGAGAGAGAGAGAGAGAGAGAGAGAGAGAGAGAGAGAGAGAGAGAGGGCAAGGCTCAAGATGCCAGGATGCAGGAGGAGCTCATTTGTGGCTGCAAGTTGGATGAACTGACCAATCAACAGGTGCCCACAGGTTACCTGACCAAGGAGAAAGAGCAATGAGCGACCCATTGGCTTGAGACACCTCGCTGTTACCTCAGACGCCTTATGAGGACGCATATACCAGGCTGAGATCCTGAACGGTGCAGAAATTCGTCAGGATCGCCGAATCGAGCCGAAAAATTGAGTGCATAAGACATCATGACGACGCATGGAGTAGCCTAGTGAGCATCTGGGAGGTGAAATACGTCAGTTCGCGTAGAATTGTAGAGTTTTGTTGCAACTGGGCAATGACGAATGGTCTGAGACCCGTTGTATGTCACACATCCGGCTGTATACACAGGACCATTCAGTGCAGGGAATAGTGTGATTGCTCAATAGCCTACACTGGGAGTCTCTATGCCGTTCCAGGACCGTCCCGGTCAGTGGAAGAACGGTTTGAACTGAGGTGAGAGGGGTGCAGTGAAAGTGAGTTGCACTCTTATTCAGCAGTGACAACTGCAGTGATATTTGTGTACAAAATGGTAGTCGTCAGGGAAGAGACACTAGTGACCAGTAATGTGGTGACCCTCGAGAAGAATACCTGAGCCGTTTAGGGCTGCGAATGTGGTGCAGATTTTTAAGAACAGATAAATCACTTGCATCAAACCATCACCCAGTTAGCTTAACGTCCATTTGTAAGAAATCTTTTTAATTTTTAATAACAATATCTTCAAGATTGAGCAGCAACATTAGCAAATTAAAAGGCAATTCGAAAATGGGATGGGAAATAAACTCAACTGAAAATTTGTAAACGACAAATTGGAGAGGCTTCCAAAATTAACGACAAAATAAGCAGATACAGTACAATTCTGACACATGTAGGGTTCTGAGCTTAGGTAATGATAATTAAGTTACAGATATCTGTTAGACAATGGCCACTTTGAGAGAGATATGTCTGGGAGTTATGATAAGCTTAGTATTTGGATCTTAAGCTAAAGAATCAAGGTATAAATGTTCAAAATATGCAAACAGGACGCTGGGATGCAGTGTCAGTGACCTTCAGCTTTATTTTGCCTTTCTTAGGCCCCATTTATCTTTTGCAGATCAATTTTCTGTACTGTTCTTTAAATAGACATAAATTAACTTAACAAAGTTAACTCCGGAACGTAGAAACGTCCCTTATGAAATGAGATTTTTTCGTATTTACTATTAAAATGTTTTTTTAATATAAGACATTTTTATTCGCATTCTCTATAAAGTAGAAGAATAAGGAGGGACATGATTGAATAATACAAATGTATGAAAGAATAAACTTTGGGGATATTAATACGAGGGTTACGTATATATCAACAGAAAATAGGTCCAGAGTAAATAATGGTTTGAAATACGGTTCTTTGTGGAATAAATTATGACTTGACACTGGACTGCCTGGTTGTTTCATGCGAAGGTTATACAAATATATGAGCAAATATGGATGAATATAAATAGGAGCTGACTCATGTGGAGTAATAGACCTTGTGCGGCTTCCATTTGCTTTTGTTATATAGACTGATATATAGTGTAATATACAAATGTATATACAGTTGTGTTATGAAAGCTGATATAGTCTAATGTGTGGTGATGTGGCAGTAGTGGTGGTGGTGTGGCAGTAGTGTGGTGGTGGTGTGGCAGTAGTGGTGGTGGTGGTGTGGCAGTAGTGGTGGTGGTGGTGTGGCAGTAGTGGAGGTGGTGGTGTGGCAGTAGTGTGGTGGTGGTGTGGCAGTAGTGTGGTGGTGGTGTGGCAGTAGTGGTGGTGGTGGTGTGAGTAGTGTGGTGGTGGTGTGGCAGTGGTGGAGGTGTGGTGGTGTGGCAGTGGTGGTGGTGGTGTGGCAGTAGTGGTGGTGGTGTGTGGCAGTAGTGGTGGTGGTGGTGTGGCAGTAGTGTGGCAGTGGTGGTGTGGCAGTAGTGTGGTGGTGGTGTGGCAGTAGTGGTGGTGGTGGTGTGGCAGTGGTGGTGGTGGTGTGGCAGTAGTGGTGGTGGTGTGGCAGTGTGGTGGTGGTGTGTGGCAGTAGTGGAGGTGGTGGTGTGGCAGTAGTGTGGTGGTGGTGTGGCAGTAGTGGAGGTGTGGTAGTGTGGCAGTGGTGGTGGTGGAGGTGTGGTAGTGTGGCAGTGGTGGTGGTGGAGGTGTGGTAGTGTGGCAGTGGTGGTGGTGGAGGTGTGGCAGTAGAGGTGTGGCAGTGGTGGTGTTGGTGTGGCAGTGGTGGTGGTGTGGCAGTGGTGGTGGTGGTGTGGTGGTGTGGCAGTGGTGGTGGTGGTGGTGGTGGTGTGGCAGTGGTGGTGGTGTGGCAGTGGTGGTGGTGTGGCAGTGGTGGTGGTGTGGCAGTGGTGGTGGTGTGGCAGTGGTGGTGGTGGTGGTGTGGCAGTGGTGGTGGTGTGGCAGTGGTGGTGGTGGTGTAGCAGTGGTGGTGGTGGTGTGGCAGTGGTGGTGGTGTGGTGTGGCAGTGGTGGTGGTGTGGCAGTGGTGGTGGTGTGGCAGTGGTGGTGGTGTGGCAGTGGTGGTGGTGTGGCAGTGGTGGTGGTGTGGCAGTGGTGGTGGTGTGGCAGTGGTGGTGGTGGTGGTTTTGGTGGTGGTGGTGGTGTAGCAGTGGTGGTGGTGGTGTGGCAGTGGTGGTGGTGGTGTGGCAGTGGTGGTGGTGTGGCAGTTTTTTTAGTGACGTGGTTTACAATGTGGCAGTGGTGGTGGTGGTGTGGCAGTGGTGGTGGTGTGGCAGTGGTGGTGGTGTGGGCAGTGGTGGTGTGTGCAGTGGTGGTGGTGTGGCAGTGGTGGTGGTGGTGGTGGTGTGGCAGTGGTGGTGGTGGTGTGGCAGTGGTGGTGGTGTGGCAGTGGTGGTGGTGTGGCAGTGGTGGTGGTGGTGTGGCAGTGGTGGTGGTGTGGCAGTGGTGGTGGTGTGGCAGTGGTGGTGGTGTGGCAGTGGTGGTGGTGTGGCAGTGGTGGTGTGGTGGTGGTGTGGCAGTGGTGGTGGTGTGGCAGTGGTGGTGGTGTGGCAGTGGTGGTGGTGTGGCAGTGGTGGTGGTGTGGCAGTGGTGGTGGTGTGGGAGTGGTGGTGGGTGGTGGTGTGGCAGTGGTGGTGGTGTGGCAGTGGTGGTGGTGTGGCAGTGGTGGTGGTGGTGGTGTGGCAGTAGTGGTGGTGGTGGTGTGGCAGTGTGGTGGTGGTGGTGGTGTGGCAGTAGTGGTGGTGGTGGTGTGGCAGTAGTGGTGGTGGTGGTGGTGTGGCAGTAGTGGTGGTGGTGGTGGTGTGGCAGTAGTGGTGGTGGTGGTGGTGTGGCAGTAGTGGTGGTGTGGCAGTAGTGGTGGTGGTGTGGCAGTAGTGGTGGTGGTGGTGTGTGGCAGTGGTGGTGGTGTGTGTGGCAGTGGTGGTGGTGGTGGTGGTGTGGCAGTGGTGGTGGTGGTGTGGCAGTGGTGGTGGTGGTGTGGCAGTAGTGGTGGTGTGGCAGTGGTGGTGGTGGTGGTGGTGTGGCAGTGGTGGTGGTGTGGCAGTGGTGGTGGTGGTGGTGTGGCAGTGGTGGTGGTGTGGCAGTGGTGGTTGTGGTGGTGGTGTGGCAGTGGTGGTGGTGTGGCAGTAGTGGTGGTGTGGCAGTGGTGGTTGTGGTGGTGGTGGTGTGGCAGTAGTAGTGGTGGTGGTGTGGCATTAGTGGTGGTGGTGGTGTGGCAGTAGTGTGGTGGTGGTGTGGCAGTAGTGTGGTGGTGGTGTGGCAGTAGTGGTGGTGGTGGCATTAGTGGTGGTGGTGGTGTGGCAGTAGAGTGGTGGTGGTGTGGCAGTAGTGTGGTGGTGGTGTGGCAGTAGTGGTAGTAGTGGTGGTGTGGCAGTAGTGGTAGTAGTGGTGGTGTGGCAGTAGTGGTGGTGGTGGTGTGGCAGTAGTGGTGGTGGTGGTGGTGTGGCATTAGTGGTGGTGGTGGTGGTGGTAGTAGTGGTGGTGGTGTAGCAGCAGTAGTGGTGGTGGTGGTGGTGGTAGTAGTGGTGGTGTGGCAGCAGTAGTGGTGGTAGTGGTGAAGACTGGCCAGAGGCGGGAGCGAGGATGGACACGATGGTCCCCGCCATGTTTGGACGTACCGTGCGCGTGTTGGCTCCAGGATAGGTGTGTGGTGGCGGTGGTGGGGGTCCCCTCATGCTACCAAGAGGGGGTTCCTCTCCACCCTCTGCTGCTGCTGCTGCTGCCGCTACTCCTCCTGGGTGTGGGGGCACTCATAGCAGCACAATGGGGCCGGCTGCTGCTGCTGGCCAAGCAGCACGGGCGGCACAAGATCCCGTGACTGACACACTGCAAGATGACGCGCGAGATGCCAGCCTCCCAACACCACCATCACTGACACACTGACGCCTCGCGCACGCGCTGCCACGTGCAGGCCACGCGACCCATACCCGCGCATCTACACCCTACACCTGGCCCTCGCCTCCTACACCCAACATCTGGTCATTGCCTCCTTCACCAGCTCACCAAAACGCAACTTCCCAGAACAAACCTAACACATCCTAGTGACGCTCAATTGATTTGTGGAGGTTACTGCAAGCTGCCACAACTCCGAGCAGCCTGAAGTATGCAGTGCTCTGTCGGTCTCTTAACTCTTCCAGAATTGAAACAGGTCACCTGTAGACAAAACTCGAGAAAAACACCAACCACAAAAAACAGCACGACTTGCAATAAGAATGGAACGCTCTCTTGATCAGTGGCCCACAAACAGGAATCACACATTCTCAGGAAAAAAAGAGTGAAAACTACTTACCATCCCATAGAGGGATGGTAAGCAGGTCGTCTGGGACTACACGTGTGCATCTACATTGGCTGATACATATCTACCTCACAGTATAGCTGAGGGAGGCGAGGCGGCCACCTTCAGGAAGACCAGAAAACTGACAAGTACAGGGACCTAGAACGTTGGTGTGGCAGTAGTGGTGGTGTGGCTGTGGCAGTAGTGGTGGGACCCTCTCGTGCCGATAGGCTCTGAAACCCTGGGCGATTGGGGTAAATGTGCATTTAAGTTCATAAAGGAGGTGGCTGAGGAACTCATTGGGAAAACTAAAGACTCAAGAGCAGCCAGTTTCCTGTTCCAGCGCCTCAATGTCATGGTCCAGTGAGGAAATGCGTGCTGTATCTTGGGCACGCACCCAACCTCCGAAGAGCTGGATGAGGTTTTCGAACATTGATTGTTATATGTGTGTGTTTTCTGTAAACTGTAGCAATGTAATAAAATAAAATAAAATTTAAGATCACAAAAAAATAGGTGTGGTAGGAGAGAAAAATATCAAAGTGTTCAGTGAGAATCCACAGGGTCTTCTCTGAATACTCTTTTTCTTCTTCTTCGAGGTTGTGGGTCCCAACAATTGCACCAGAGGTGGTACCCCTATTATGCATGGATATTTATATATTTATATACATATATATACATATATATATATATATATATATATATATATATATATATATATATATATATATATATATATATATATACCTAGTAGCCAGAACGTACTTCTCAGCCTACTATGCAAGGCCTGATTTGCCTAATAAGCCAAGTTTTCCTGAATTAATATATTTTCTCTATTTTTTTTCTATGAAATGATAAAACTACCCATTTCAATATGTATGAGGTCAATTTTTTTTATTTGAGTTAAAATTAACGTAGATATATGACCGAACCTAACCAACCCTACCTAACCTAACCTAACCTATCTTTATAGGTTAGGTTAGGTTAGGTAGCCGAAAACGTTAGGTTAGGTTAGGTTAGGTAGGTTAGGTAGTCGGATAAACATTAATTCATGAAAACTAGGCTTATTAGGCAAATCGGGCCTTGCATAGTAGGCTGAGAAGTGAGTTCTGGCTACTAGGTACGACATATATATATATATATATATATATATATATATATATATATATATATATATATATATATATATATATATATATATATATATATATATATATCGTACCTAGTAGCCAGAACTCACTTCTCAGCCTACTATGCAAGGCCCGATTTGCCTAATAAGCCAAGTTTTCATGAATTAATTGTTTTTCGACTACCTAACCTACCTAACCTAACCTAACCTAACTTTTTCGGCTACCTAACCAAACCTAACCTATAAAGATAGCTTAGGTTAGGTTAGGTAGGGTTGGTTAGGTTCGGTCATATATCTACGTTAATTTTAACTCCAATAAAAAAAAAATTGACCTCATACATAATGAAATGGGTAGCTTTATCATTTCATAAGAAAAAAATTAGAAAAACTATATTAATTCAGGAAAACTTGGCTTATAAGGCAAATCGGGCCTTGAATAGTAGGCCAAAAAGTGAGTTCTGGCTACTAGGTACGACAATTTACACTTCATGCAATTTACACTTCATGTTAATTTTTTGTTCATAGAAAAAACTAAACAAAAAACTAAATTATATTTTGTTTTTCTATAATGCAAAACATTTTCCTACAATATAGATCAATCATTTGTTCATATAGACATATAAAAAAGAAATGATTTATGACTATAAATAACTACACAATGTAGTAATGTTTTTAAACTTTTTATAAACTGTGGTACTTTGGATGCCCACCATTATTTATCTAATTTGCAGACGAGGAGTCACAATAACGTGGCTGAAATATGTTGACCAAACCACACACTAAAAAGTGAAGGGACGACGATGTTTCGGTCCGTCCTTTTCAAGTCGATTGTAAGAATGCATTTCTCACAATCTGAGAAATGAATGAAAATACACAATCGACTTGAGAATGGTCCAGGACGGACCGAAACGTCATCGTCCCTTCACTTTCTAGTGTGTGGGTTGGTCAACAACTACCCGTATGTAATAGGGGGTGGGGAAGACCACGCTACCTATGCTCATCGCTGGCCTGTACCAAGCACACATTCTTTACATAAAATACCTACGTGAAACATACTTTTGTATGCTGCCTCGAACCAGGCCAGTATTCATGCAACTGGTGTGCTGCAGTAATAATACCTAGTGCCTCTTGTGGCCAAGCACAACCACAGAAGTACCCACCATACACCTGCCATCCTGGGAGGTTCTGTAGCTGGAATACTTTTGTACGTAGAAGCTAATAATATGAAAACAAGGCACATAGACTCAGCTTTGCCCCAAATACACAATCAATATACAGAAGTTTACTATTAAAAGAACAATACTGCATGGAAAAGTTTAATGTAACACAGAGATGGTGCTTTGCAACACTGCTAAAGGAAGTTCTACATTAATTACATTTTTAAAATCTACTTGTTAAATGGTAAACTGTCTCCAACAGATTCTAGTCTTTCAAAATTACCTTTTGACGATTTCGAAAGTTCTTCCACTTCCACAGCCTTCCCTGGTGAATGCCTCGTGTGTAAAACTATTTTATGTCTTCGTAGTTCGGAGGCTCACATAGCCATTCTTGTCGTAACGCCAGCGGAAACTTATCCAATTCCCTGTTTAAAGCTCCCATTGTTGTTCCAGCGGCATTTCTTATATTGTTTGGTAACAGATTGAAAATGTGTTTCTGATGTTTACACTGTTCTCTTACTGCACTTATGGCACACTTGCTTTTCATAGGATGTGTTTTACACTTCCTGTCACATCTCTTATTCATTCTGCTACACTGGTCATGTACACTGATGGCTTCATACTGCTACACTGCTCATGTACACTGATGGCTCCCTGCACCACTCCACTGGTGTAACTGAAGGTACTGAAGGTCCTGATAGTGAGTGATGGCTCATATTTTGAGTAGGAAGTCCGCATACACAACTGGGGGCCCCTTCCATCCAGACCGAACTGCTAGTCATACTTCTTGCTCTCAAATACGTACATTTCCAAACTTCACACATTAACTGAAAATGATTCTTTATCATCCTTATTTGCACTCAGTTTTTTATGATACAATTGTAATACGCTTGTGTCTGAAGATAGACACAAATACCTGTACAACAAAATTATTAGTGATGGTAATAGTCCATTTCACGTAATTATCCAAGTATAATTACGTAAGTGTAGTTAAAGGATGAAACACCACTAGGCTCGTGGTGTTCGTCTGTCATATGACGCTTTGAGGAGAGTCGAAATAGCCTAAGCTACTCTATCCCTTTGACATGTATCTTATTGTCTCAATAAACGTACTTGAACTTGACGCTTTTGAAACCACCGACGGTTTTGGCATCCACCACCTTCTCACTTAACTGTTCCAACCACTGTTTGCAAAAGAAAACTTTCTAATGTTCTCTTGGCAGCTTTTTTTTTTAGCTTGAGTCTGTTACTTCTTGTTCTTGAAGATGCAGATTTCAAGAATTCTGCATTGTCAATTTTGTCGATTCCTGTTACTATTTTGTATGTAGTGATCATATCACCCCTTTTTCTTTTTATCTTCTAGGTTTGGTATATTAATACCTTTAGCCTCTCTTCATAGCTCTTGTTTCTCAGTTCCAGAACTAGTTACATATCTTTGCACTTTTTCCAATTTATTGATGTCCTCCTTGAGATAAGGGCACCATACAACTGCTGCGTATTCCTATTTTGGCCTCACGAAGGTCACCAATGATTTCTTAAATATTTTGCCATCCAAGTATTTAAAAGTGATTCTGAAGTTGGAAACTATAGTATAGCCTCCTTGCACAATGGCCATCTTACATTGACTTCTGAATGCTTATAATGGATGAATTAGCCAAAGACTCTGTCTTTGAAGACGTTGATTATAACCTTGGAATGCCTATAAGCAACTTAAGAACAAAAATATACCAAGAACTTCACCGAAACCTTGTAGATATGAGGCAAAGTGAAATCTACACTAGCAATTCCATCTATCATTATACTGTTATGCAAGAAAAGCCACATATCTGTTGATCACCAAATAATATCAGCAGACTCCGAGATGTTACTACTGCTCGGTTTAGATTAAAGTATCTGTGGGAGTTTGCATTACCTGCCGATGTAGACCTGAACAAATGCAAATTGTGCCAGTAAAATTATTCACACATCTTGCATCACTGTGGAGTGTGAAAAAGATATATGAATTCAGAGACAGTTCAATAACAAATGTTCAAGAAATATGTAAATATTTCATTCAAAATGATCTACAAGAAATTTTAGGCAAATATCCTCAGTTGGCTAATTGTTGTAAGTAAATGTGGATGATTACAACCTTTACACTGCCCCCCCACTGGATTGGGGGGTGGTGGTGTGCATGTAAAGCAATCAAATTATGAAACTAGCTCACCACAAATGTAAGTTGCTTAATTTAGAAACTACTTGTGGTCATTCTTGATGGCATTGTTGATACAAACATTAAACTGTGTAACTAACTTATCCAAATTAATTTTGGGGTTCAGTACCTGAGCCCATTTGTCTCAACTTTTTGCAATACCACCCACAGTATGGGTACATAATAAATGAATAACTTAAACTATCGTCTCTCATTGTATTATGTTGTAATTTTATTGTGCTGGTTTAATACCTGATCTTCCATGTTTATAAAATACAGTACCTCTCTCGACTTTATTCCAAAAAATAGTCTAAGTGCTTTGAGTCAGTCCCAGTAGTTTAAACTACATGTGAAAATTCAGGTTATTTAGATTTCTGTACGATTCAAATCAGAGAGAATATTTCATTGAAGTAAATTAACTCAAAACTATCTGTGTCGAAGTGAAGTCCAATATTCCCCTCCTCCTTCCAGTCATCAGGTGCATATCTCTCTCTCAGATGAAGGATATAAAACATGAGAGCAATTGTGACATTTTCTATTAAACTTAATTTAATTTCTACAGAACTTACATTTCTGTAATTTATGACAGAAATGAAGTACAACATATGATATATTACTGAGTGAAGGTTTACAGATTTCATACAGAAAGAAAAAGAAGTGATGTTCAGTAAAAGTAGCAGCTACTCTGCGCACACACACAAATAACCCACACATGTTTTTCACATAAAACAACCTAATTAGCTGCCTTACAGTTACAGCTCTACTGTACTGAAGGTGCTATCAACAAAAATCACTAATAACTATCAATGGCCAAGTTATGACGTCAATTAGTTTGTTATTTTTACATTGGCAAAAGGTTTATTTTCTTGAAGAAAACTACTGAAGTTGTAAATTCTTTTCTTTACCAATGCTCACATTACAATAATTTGAGATCAATGTTCTTTGACTATCACATCAGATTTCAATGCAGGTCAATGAACTATCAACACTTCAGGGAATAACTTCACACAGCCAACAGTCGCATTATATAACAACTTGTAGACTATCAGTACTGTATTTTCACAATAAAACACACATTGAACAATGCCTCATTAGCCAGACTTCTTGTATAGTACTATGGTAGTACAGTATATATAAAAGTAAGAACTATATGTACAGTACAATGATCATAAACTTTATTTACGGAATGAGCTAACGACAAGTCTTCGTTTTGTTTTGTGGAATGCCAGAAATGTTTTACTAGCTCGACAGAAAGCCCTTGCAAGACACGTCGGAAATATCTTGCTTGGTCCCTAATACTGTATGCCATGCCATTTATTTTTAATTTTCGTCAGCTATAAGTATATGGCATTATTACTTGTGCCTGACCTCAAGTAGTAATTAATAGTTTTATTCTTCTTAAGGTGCTATCAACAAGAATTCACTAAAACTATCAATGCTCCAGAAATATAAGTTATTACATTACCAGTAACTCTTGTCCATAAATTTAATGACTTGTATGCTTACACCAGTGAGCACTATGTTGCCAAAACAATGTATCTCACATTTAGAACCTGCATTGTTATTTTTAGCATAAATTAAATAAAAATAATTCACATTTAATTTATTTCTACAAAATGTGCCAAAGACATAAATAGAATATAAATCTAATCCTTAATCACTAAGTAAAGGCTTAGGATAATGGACAATATGCCAGAAGAGGAGCCACACCGGCAGGAGACACTGAGTGGCCACTTGGAACACCCAGTTGGAGTAGATGAGGCCGTCCACGACACTGTACATGAGCGCTCGCTTTGTGGCCACATATGACTTCCACAACAACTTGCCGACAGGCAGGTCACCAAAATTATTCCAAGTGTCCAGCATAACGAACAAGAAGAGCATAGACATCGGGTGAACCAAGATGAGAATGAACGATTTTAACCACAACTTCACTCTGAAATAAAAAAAAACAAATGTTCTTTGTATATTATTTATTTCTGGACAATATACTGATGATTTCATTTATTGAAAGTGTTTCAAGCAATATTTTAAGAACCCTAATCTGCAAATTTCTCATATTTAGATCTGTTCATGGAAGTCTTGAACAGGTCTAAATATCTCACTCTTTTCACCTAAACATCCCTCTCCCACAAAAAAAAAAATGTTTTGCAAACTTAAATAATTTTTCACTTATTAGTGAATTTCACCTGTAATTTCTCAAACCTCTCAAGGTTACAATAAACAAGTCTCACCTGCTTTGGGATGGAGAGACGATAAAAGCTATTGGTGTAAAGGAAATAGTGATAATCAGTGCTAGAGAAAAGTTATAAACTGCACCAGCAAACAGCAGGACACCCAACTCTAATACAGCAAAGATTTTCACTATCTCCCAACTACGTTCTTGTAAATTCATATACCTGCAAAATGAAGAATTTTTATGTTACTAATATTGCATGCTGGTGATATAATGTGAAAAATATCATATTTGCTTCAATTATATTTGGTAGAAAAACAATAAATCCTTTCCACACAAGTATTTGTTCAACAAAGCCTTTCCTTTCTGAACTATGTTCCCCCAGTTCTAGAGACTATGAAGAATACTGGTGACACACCAGGCACTAGGTGATTTTCCCTGTGATAACTATGAAGATGTTTGTCACATAGTTAGGGCAGGCCTCACAATTTCAATGAGTGTGCATGTAATGAATGTATTGTTATGCTGTTTTGTCTTATAATAAACAGCCTCTGGGTGGTGAATTTAGATAACGTATTCTCTATTGTTTCCCTGCCCCAACAACACGACTAGACCACTTGCAAAGTTACCTGGCACCCTTGTATTAACGCTCCGACCACTTGGGCTGGACAGTAGAGCGACGGTCTCATTTCATGAAGGTCGGCGTTCAATACCCGACCATCAAAGTGGTTGGACACCATTCCTTTCCCCTGCCCCATCCCAAATCCTAATCCTGACCCCTTCTAAGTGCTATATAGTTGTAACGGCTTGGAGTTTTTCCCTAATAATTCCCTTCCCAACCTTGTATTAACACTGATATCAATTTACTCAAGATAGATTAATTGTCATAATATTACACCAAGACTTCTCAGGTCAGTTCAGATATTGTTTCTGCATGACAAATATTAAAACTCCCATTCAAACCAATTTTATTATTCTAATTTCCCCACCAAAGATATTACTGCTACTCAAACTGTTAACTACTCTATCAGGAGCATATCTGACAGTACTGTAATGTTAAAATAAAAGATTTGTTCCAAATCTGACTTCAAACTTGATACTCAAAGTTACTTAAAACATTGGCCTTTTTTCTTCCATTATAAAGCCTTAAATATTTCAAATAGCTTCACACAGAGCCATTCACAAGTAGTGTATTCTACTTCCATAAGATACAGCCCAGCTTACCTGTTTAAACAAAAAGGTAGCATCAATAAAGTTAAGCAGAAAGCGGAAATTCCTAGAAAAATGCTGTCCTCCGCAGACAGTGCCATGAGCAGGCCACATCGAGACAGCAGGGAAGGGCCACAGGCCAGGGCCACACTTGCCATGTGCATCAACACCACCAGAGGCACACACCCCAGTACACCATAATCAATCTGTCGTCAAAAAAAAAAATGGATAATACATAGATAACATTTGAATATATAACTTAATAAATCAATCCTCAGACAATATAACATAAGGTACAGTATTATGATTATAATCTAAAATGCCAACACACACACATACATGTTAAAGACTTGTGTTCCCAGCATGCCCTAACCTAATCCAGCCAAAACACAAGTGAGAATGGACAAGGGCATACCCATAACCATATATGGTTATAACAATAGCTAAAAAAAAAAAAAAAAAGAGGAGTCTATGAAGCCAAGTATTACTTGGAAGATGCATTTTGAATAGATAAATGAATCCTCGAATGGTCATTCTAACTTAGTTGAGAATTCTTCAGTGTCTTCCTTGCACCCCATGCACCACTGGAGATGAGATGTCACTGGCCAGGCAGGAATTTAGCTGTGTTCTTGTGCACCTAGGAACTGACTAATGGGGTAACAAAGTTGTTTAAGTACAGAAACAAAACAACAAAAATGGAGAAAAAACTAGAAAATATAGCACTAAAGAGCTGTGTGATGTCCAACTCAACAGTGACATTTCACATGACTGAGACGTTACACACGAGATTCTGTATGTACTGTATATTGTGCAACTGCATACTGAAGAAATTCCTGCGTTAATTAACCTTACCTTCTTTTTGGCTTGTTTGTTTTGGAGCTGCTTCTCTGCTGCACAGCTGGTGGAGTACCACAGAGCCAGGGCCTTCACTAGGACGCCCCCTGCTATCATGCCAAATGGAGGCATGTAAACACCTGTCGGAATAACATGTAGTGTCACTGCGTGGAGAGACAAGGTCAACCTGGGCACCCTTGCTCAAACATGCTACAAAGTAACCAAAGGATCAAATAGTTAGGCTGCCTCCTTTACAACACTGGTGGAACACATCTTACACAACACTGGTGGAGCATATCTTACACAGACTTATAACTGTTCCTACAATAACAGACTTTTTTACAACAAATTTGTACAACAAAATTCTACACTACTATATTTTTTGCCTTGAAAAATAAGTTTTCTTACACTGAATGAATTAACAATCTTTAATCAGAATGATCTTACAACACTTTACCTATTGAGATGTATCTATTTGTAGCTGGTAGAAGATAGAAGAAGAATGACTGGTGGAAACGCTCCAAAAGATTGTTGAGAGAGCGGCAGACACCCTCGAGGACACGGCCTAGCTGGTGAAGGGAGACACTGCGCCACCCTCGACCTTGTTGTTGCTGACCTTCCACCGTCACAGCAGCTATACCATACCTGCCCCAAAAGTCAGTTTTATGTATAACAATTATGTATTACCAAGGTGTGCTTCACAAACAACCATGGTTGTCTATGAAACACACCATGATTTCCCATGTTGGTCATTATATTGTAAAGAGGTTATATGTCAAACCAAAATCATAATATTTAAAGCATTAAAAACTGAACTCCATAAGCTACCTGTGAAATAAACCATGATTGCCTGTTGGAACTCCCGATGCTTGCGAAGCAACCATAGACAAGAGCGTCTGCAACTGATGTACCCAACCGTGGAATGTCTCTGGACGAGGATGATCACCCTGGACACATCACAAACTTTATACGTTGCATTCAAGTCAAATCAATATAAACAAATAATGCATTATAATGTAGTAGTTATATTATTAAGTTATTTGGACCACTACATCAAACTTCAGTACTTTATAAACACATCAGTTATCTGCTTTATTCAGAACCACTCTGCATGAAACATTACATGAACATGTCTGGTTTGAATAAGAGCACAACTTTAACTTACAATGATGACACACATCTGAATTTTTTGCACAAATGTTACAAATTCAGCACTACGAGTATCCAGGGCAATTAGATATTGTATGTGAAATACTGTGCAGTAATGTACGGTACCTTTATTCTAAGCCATGATATAACATACTTAATGAGTATATAGTACATGATATATGATAGAAAAGAGCCTTATTTATACAAGTACAATATGTAAAGTACTGTACAAGATATCTAAGATGTTTTAAATATACAACTTAATGAGAACACAAACAAATAATTCAGAATAAGCCATTAACAGTTCAGAAACAAAACTATGATATTTACCCGGTTTTTAAAAGTATGATGAACATTTTCTCTCTGGCACAGACGGTGAATGAGATTGACAAGATCAAGATTTGGCAGCTGGCCGTTAAGACCCTCCACCTTCACATCCACGTGACTCACATGTGAACTGTGAAGCTCCAGGTTTATGGCTGCCTGCAATTATAATTAACTTTTGTTGTCATTTATCCCCAACATTTAGGCCCCAACACTGATGCTTATGAAGATAGTAAAAGTGTTACTATGCAATGGAGTTATATCAGAAAATCATACTAATACAGTGACACCTCGGCTTATGAATGCCCCTCTTTACAAACTTTTCGGGTTACAAGCCCAATTTCTTCATAAAATCTGAATCGGGTTACGAACTTGCCTTGGGTAACAGTTTGTTGATATGCATATGGCCAACCTAGCGCATAGTGGTATGGCAACCGCACCTCAGTTTACGAGTGCCTCTCACCTAGTAACAATCGTGCCTGAATTCTTTGTAAAGAATTTCAGTGTTTTTTGGATTTTTGAGTATTTGAACATAAAAGTAATTATTATATATCTCGTCATGGGTCCCAAGAAAATCAGTGGTAAAGTTCAACCTAAGAAAATAGTTGTAAGTAGAGGCAGTAGAGGATTCCCCTTCCTTATTACGAAAATGTGTGAAGTATGGGAAGAACTGCAAAATTTTGTTGAAACAACTCACCCAGATAAAGCTATAGCAGGCTGTTGCACTGACCTGACCTTTTAAATGACAATGTGATGTCTCATTACAGACAAGTGTTAAAATGTAGGGAAAAACAAGTGACTTTAGACAGAATCTTAGTAAGACAAACAAGCAATGAGCCACAACCAAGTCCTAGTAGTACTTCTGCAAAATGCAGGAGAGAGTACCCCCAGAAAAGTCATCACTGCCTGATGTTATAATGGAAGGGGACTCCCCTTCCAAACACTAACACCTCTCCTCCTTTCCCCATGCACCAACAAGACTCTTCAATAAAAGTAAGCAATAACTTGTAAATACTTTAGTACTAAAGATTTGGTTGAATTAGGTGTAAAATTTACTTTAAAGTTAATATTTTTGGGAGTGTGGAACGAATTAATTCAATTTACATTACTGTATTTCTTATGGGAAAATTCGCTTCGGTTTACAAATTTTCGGGTTACAAACTGTCTCTGGGAACAGATTAGATTTGTAAGCTGAGGTACCACTGTATAAGCATATGTAGTTGGTATGACATTTAGCCCTTATAATATTTCCCATTCTGGGAAAGGCTAAACCTAGTAAATGCATTTCTCTATAAAAACATAAGTGAATATTACAAACAATAAAGTATTAGAACATTAGTTTAAAATATTCTCCATTGTATACACAAGGCTTTAGGCAAACAGCATAGAAATATAGGTGCACTTGTGGAGCTCTTAAGATGACTTATTTTTGGCAACACCTCTACAGGTACTGTTATGGCCAGTGATTCTGCTTCAGCAGCTGCTGCAGGTACAGTACTGTTGCTGCTACAGTTCTGCCAATGTTACAGCTGCTGTTGTGGCTGCTAAGCTGCTACTGTTATACATTTAGTGATATATGAAAATGTCCAACCACATAAAGGTGCCAACAGTTTACAGTAACTATTTTAAGACTATTTTTTGTGAAAAATTGGAAAAATAGTAACAAAAGTGCAACAATGTAAACTAAAGGTAAATGTCTTCCCTGCTACTTCTAATCACAGCTGATGGAAAAGCTGAACAACAACCCAGTACCTGTATGGCTCCTGCTCGTCCCTCGAGGTCTCCGTGGTCGAGCACTCCAGCTCCACTCTGGGTGCGGTGGTATGCCTGCAGCCATGCTTGTGCCCCTAACTGTTCATGCTCAGTCACCAAGAAGATCAAATCCTTCGCCCAGTACACTTGCTCTGTAAACCAGCCATTTATATTTGTTTTATGTAAACTTTCTATGCTTATTCAAACATTCAAAATGAATATTTCTGAATTAAGAGACATTCATCACCTGGTTCAATTATTATTTTCATTACTGGATATCAATATCAATGTGTGGCTTAACAATATATATAAAAGCAACAGTATATTGACACATTGAAGAAACAAGTGGAAAGAACAGAACAATGGTTAGTGGAAAAGGAAGATTAAAGGCTCTGGCTCATGGTCCCCAGTAGGCTAAACTCTACAGACTAATGCCCCAGTCTAACAATTCGCATATTAGCTCCAGGGAGCCGAAGGGGCTCCCCACAGAAAGAATACCACCAAACGTCCCTCCTGGATCATACTGGTGCTAGGGAGGCAATGGAGGAAAGCTCAAAGTGACCACAAATGGTTTAATCATAAACATTCAGAATATTTCTAAGCCCTCACCACCAAACCACTAAGTCACTACTCCTAGCTGCCACCAGGTAGCAGCACCCATGTCAAAACTTGATCCCCTGCCAATAGTCTTGTCACTTTCTTCCTTACTGATCCCCATTACAGTTGGGCAGGAATAAAACTACATTTAGTTACGTGAATTCTTTTCCATTTTGATCAACTTAATTTTCATTTTGCACTTGGGTCATGTTTTGTATTTGCTTGAGTTGTATATATACTAATTAGGAACATTGCCATTTCTGTTCAATTTGGTTGGTGCTTCCAAAATGGGTCCCTCCTCTCAGTTTCTCAGTGCATTAGGTACATCAGCTCTGTGTGAGGATGAACAATTCTAACCTTGGCTGTCATGTTTGTTGCTGTATTTGTACAAATGGCATAAAGTCACAAAAGTCTAATGTCTGGATACCTGGGTGTAATGGGAAGGTTACAAATCAAGCTTAAGAACATGGAATAGTCAATTATTTAGCCTGAATTATCCTCAGCAGTAACAAACAACAGTGATCTCTCAATTTCCCAAATTACTGTCATTGTAACTGACTTCCAGGAGATTAATTTGGGTACAGTAATCATATACTGTACTGTACCAGGTAATTTTGATACTGGAAATTGTCTAGTGTATCTCAAGATTATGAATTCAGTGATCAGATAATTTTAAAACCTTATCTGGATTGCACCCCATGTATCCAGTCTTATCTATGGATTACCAGATTATCAGTTGGAATATTTACCTGAGGGCCACCAACACTAGCGGCCTCGACGAGGACAGGAAGCCAACAGCTTGTTGAAGGTCCCCCCCCCCCATTTGTCTTAATGATTGTTTCCAGTTGGATATTAAAATTTAACAGTTTTGGCAGACGCCGTAAATGCAGACACACGTACAGTATCAGACATAGCTCAGTTAATCCCTAGATTCAAATAATCAAGGATTCACTAATAGGGAGATTGCTCTATATTAATATACATGCATTACTACATGGTCCTAAATTACAGATAATTTTAATATCAGTCTAATACTGCACTGTATGGATACAAAGCTCTATATGTAACCTAATGCAGGAGGAGAGCCACATGCCTCTTGTGAGTACAGTATGCATCACCACCTCAGCTACAGCATCTCATTGCAAAAATACTGTACTTAAGGAAGAAGAAAATACTGTACTAGAGAATACTAGACATACTAGAGAAGAAGTGAGCCATTGCAAGCATCAGAGCTATAGAAGGTGCAGTGCCCTGGAGGACAGATGATGGGGGACGGTACGGAGCAGAAACTACCACTGCCTCGGTACTGCTTCCACGTGGTGCTCGCAGAATACCATAAACATTCTTGCCAGAAAAAATCTGCCCAGGAAGAAAAGTACAGTACCGTAAATATTTGCTATTTAAACTTGAAATATTTCACCCACTCCAAATATGACATCGCTCTTATGTCAGATTTTCATAAGTACGGTAAATGAAGTGGTTCAGCTCAGTGCAGCTTAACAGTATTATGATAGAACTCTCTACTCACATATTACTCAAACAAAAATTGACACCATACATGATAATGCTATGACTAGTGCTTCCCATATTCCTCATTTCACTTTTACATATATACAGTAGTACTGTATTCACGCTTAATATCCTACTTCAACAGATTTAACTAGCAATGACTTATATTTTTAGTAAAAATACTCTTGCAATAACAAAATATACTGCAACAACTGTACAGGTTAAAAAAATAAAAAATATAAATTCTGCAGAGCAATAACTAAGGAAAATGTAGAAACAAACAATACTCTCCAAAGAACATTGATTTGATATTTTTGGACAAGGTGACCTGCTCCAGAACTGTCACTTCATTTAATAGGTTGCGTGCTGTACAGTACATCTTTGAAACCCAGATAAAACTACTGTTATAATTATGGGGTTCAAGTAAGCCATCATTGGATTGTCCATGGCACCCTCACTGGGGCATCCATGCCTCCCTCATCGGAGCATTCACGCTTTCCTTGCCCCTGAATGCAAATGACTGCAGCAGGCATTTTTGGGACTGGACCAGAATTGACTCGGACTAGGCAGATATATCCTCGACTGATTTCCATACAAACAAGGTTCTACTGTACTGTACTTTAACATGTAAAAATTAATGTACAGTACTACATCAAGTCAACCCACAACAGTTACCTAGGTGCTACCCAAAAGCTTCACCCTGCCTGGGAATCAAACTTGGAACCATTCACTTGTGACCCAACCGCAGTCATCAGATTTTATAAATAAAGCAATAAGGACACGGTGAACCATCACAACTAAATTAATCCTATCAGTTTCTCTAATGGCACACAAAGGTGTGAAATATTAATAAAAAAAATATAAAAATTGATGAAGTGATCATGAAAATTGCCTATTGGTTACCTTGTCTTTTCCCAAGGGATAGTGTAATGTGAAGTTATGGGTGAATGTGTCCAGGCCCAGCTGGGTGAAGTGAGCAGCCAGCCAGGCATAAGGCATGCTTGATGTATGCTTCTCTGCCTCTTCAGTCAAACTCTGAAATTAAACAGACAAAATATTTACCAATTATTCACAAAATAATTCATAGGTCATTGGCCTTCTTTCACCCAGGAAACCAATACTTTTTTCTGCAAATTGCTTTAATTTTCATTCATGATTCTTATTCATATCTCTCATTCTTATTTGCCGGTGTTAAAATTTTCAAATTACATCTTCCAAAACAGAATTGTATTTCATTTCTATCTTCAGTATTTCTCTGTTCATATTTTCCTACACCAATGACCTCAATGATATGGAATTAGAAAATTATTTCCAATTAATCAATTACCTTTCTCTGCTTCCTGAGCTCTACCCTCTTAAAAATAAAGGCAGAATCAGCGACTTTCATTACATTTCCTTATTTCAAAATTCTAGTAAATTTGATCTATTATGCTTATTATATATATCCAACAACATTATTTTCTATCCTGTATATTTGATCACAATCATCTGGAGCAATGCAGGGATTTCAACCAGCATTCTAGTGACTCCCAGATGCTTGCCTTAACCTAATCGGCCATGATAGAACAAAGACTATTCAACCCAGAACTCTACTGAGTCCCCTGCATTGCTCCAAATGATTTTCTCATTGATATATCATTCCTCTGCGATTTCTTTGAGTTATATGTGATTACTTGCTGCAAATGAAGCAAATGTCTACAAGAGCTTACAAGCAGCAGAGGAAATTCTGGCAAACTGAACAGACCACTTGACAGCACCATAATACTAAAACATAATACTTGTAGCTCCAAGACTAGACATAGCATTAATGAGATTTATTCTAACAGCAGTTTAGAATGTTAAAATTTGATATAGAGTACTGTACTATGGAATGATATACTGTACAGGTGTCCCAAGTATTGGATTATGTGGATTCCGAGTAATTGGGGGAGTCTTGTACATTTATATTTGTACAAACTTATGAAGTGTGACCACAAATCTTTTTAATTTGCACAGGTTATGTGCCCAACCATTTCTGTTTCGCCCAGGAATCGAACCAGGAATTCTCGATGGCGAGTCAAGACTGAACCCAACTATACTACCGGGACCCCTCTATTTATGTACGGGGTATGTATGTATGTATGTATGTGTATGTATGTATGAATGCTATATAATTTTTAAGCCTAAACAAACTGAAGTCTTTGTAGCCATACCAGAGAAATCCTAAGAATAACCTTAATCTGCACACTTACCTCCAAATATTGTACTGCCTGAGAGTCGCCATGGAAGTCCCCCTGCACTAGTCCTGGTAGTAAGGCATTCTCAGAGAAATAGGTCCCTGGAAATTAAACAAAAGTAAACTCGTCAAGAATTGGTATAATATTTTCCAACACAACTGCTCTATTTTCTTTTTCATATCACTTAAAATATACAAACTACAAAATAGATTAACATGAGTAGATACGTGGTCCTGTAGTAGAGTGATCAAAGCATTTGGCAATGCTGCCTACTCTCCTAAATTATCATTTAAAAGTCTTTGTAATTTTGTCATTCTATTATTACCATAATTCAGTTATAGTATGCATGTACTGTATTATTAAATGGCTTTCACTCTGACTCAATGTTCAACCACTGAGCTTTTCATTAAAACCAACATTATTTCTTAATCTCATTGACAATCATCTATCTGCTACTTATATTTCCGAGTTTCTAGCTCACTGGATGAGATCAGCACACAACTCAGGTGTATGCTAATGTTCTCATTTCTGGCAAGATGTTTACATTTGTCAAATCAAGTATAGTTATACCCATGGTCAACAGAGATCTCTGATGCTTAAATTCCCTAGAGGGCAAAGAATCAAAGTGTAAGTGACTATACACCTGTCAAGGTTGAGTCAACATCCATAAATATCCACCTTAGTTCAAGGGACCAACATACTAACAACTGATACAAAGACAAAAATATTGAATATGATTAAAGTGATATAAATCTAAGATCTAAGTGATATAAATGATGAAAAAAAACTGCTTATTGCCACATGATGTAGACTATACAGTAGTAGCACAATGAAATCACAACAGTATAATATATCTATGAGAAAATCTTTTGGAGCAATGTGATGGAACTGAACTCACATCCAAGGTAAAACATACTGTAGTAGTGTACTGAATACACACACACGTGTCACTGAGACAAGACTGGCATGGATGATAGGATGGAAGGGGGGGAATTATGAGAAGAAAGCGCCAAGCCATTATGACTATACTGTATAGCGCTTCGAAGGGATCAGGATAACTATATGGGAATGAAGCAAGACCGAGGTAATCCCCCACCATCTCATGACGCTGCATCACCAGCCCACCACCAGCTAGACGTGTACTAGATGTGTGGTTGTGCACAGGCCGCTACACTCTGGAAACAACTTAATTGTGGATTTGTTGCCATCTACTGAACAGTCCCAAGATACGGTCACGGGGTATGTGAGGTTTGGGTATCAGAACCTTAAGGTGCACATTTTACTGTCACCTTGCAGTAAGACTGTAGATAGACAAGCAAACTAGTAATTCACAAGAGCACTCTGTAGGAAGCAACTAATGAGACCAAGAGAGAGGTCTTGGAAGGTCAAGTAAATACAGGAAATCTTCCATTACTCTTTTGTCAAGACCAATTACACTGAATTTAATACAAGAATGGAATTCTTTCATTATATCCAAATTTGTTTAGTAGAATGAATTCCATTTGAGTGGGTTTCCATTCTATTGTACAAGATATTTATACTAAGTGAAATACTGTATATGTAAAAATATACATTCAAAATGACAAAATATACAAAAATATATCATTCAAAAAGACAAAATATACAAAAATATATCATTCAAAGCCATTTATTAAAAAATGGAAAATGAATACACATTCTACCACTACCATTATAAAAGGGACTCACCGTGGTTTAGTGAGTTGTGAGCTAATGCCACAAACCACACAATACCAGCAACATAGAGAAAAATACAAATAGGTCGATGATATTTATCAAGCAGCGCCGGTAGTTTGCTCCGTTCCATCCCGGGGTCTGTCAACAGCCCCATTTTCCTGATGCTGATAAATACAACTCTTCAAAAACCTGTGTCAAAGGAGAAACAAAATCTGAATTAACTCTAATTATTCAAGCAAATGTGTCTTCTGTACGATGAAACTTGTATTGAACAAACACTGCTTGGACCCCGAACTGTGGTGTATTCCCATCAATATTTGTATTCATTGACTTAATAAGAAATCTTATTGGTGGTGTTGTTAAGGGGGAAGGTGCGTTTTCCCTAACAATCCTCTAAAATAAACAAGAAGCAGGAGGACAGAGGACAACATACCGGAGCTGTTTTTGTGTACACTCGCCAGCTGATCCGTCGCGCCCAGGGTTGCCAGATCTAAATTGCTAAAAGTAGCGAGCTGACGCTCTAAAAGTAGCAAATTTGTAGTAAGAGTATACTGTATATATATATACTGTATATATACTGTATATATATAAAATCATATCAAAATATCTACACTAAAATCAATGTAGGTAGATGCCCGAAACACTGTGCGTATAGTGGCCTTATGCATAGTATGTACTAGCTTTATCTAGAAGTCCAACATTCTGCTAGGAAATGTAGATGTTTATCTCTCAGAATGTTTGGTAATATGTTTATTGTTTGTGGTGTGTGTCTATGTATGTATTAACACGATGTACTGAACGGGGTGAGAATAGCTTGAGCTACCTCATCCCTTTGTGTGTATTTTACATCAATAAACTTATTTCAATTTCAGTTTCAATTTCAACATTCTGCTTGTAACTTTTTGAATGTATTTACTTTTACCTGAATAAACATTATTATTATTGTTATATAGATATTAAATGTGGGTTGACGTGCTTAGCGCACTACTTATACTGTTGTATATCTTATTATTATCTATCAGCGAGGGCTTTGTCTATTATTACAGAACGAATAGACTCAAGATGGTACAAACAATACAACTGCAATAATTCATGGATTATTTGCAATGTTTGCAACTAGACTGTAGTTGGACACTTCATTGATTTTTTGCCGCCAGAGGTGGATAGTTCATTAAGCATCCCCTATTCAACCAGCGAGTGGTAGTTTATTGTGCACCCCGAATCCCGACCAGTTGTGTAAGCGGACCCCGACCAGTTGTGTAACTGCAAGCCTAGTATGAACGACCCGAACAAAACCTCTGGATCACAATCATGCACGAACCGAAGCCCGATCATGCACAACCCGAGGCCCAAGTGACACCCCCGGAGCCCGACCAGTTACGTAACCGGAGCCCGACCAGTTGGGTAACCGGAGCCCGACCAGTTATGTAACCGGAGCCCGACCAGTTGTGTAACCGAAGCCCGACCAGTTGTGTAACCAGACCCCGACCAGTTATGTAATCGCAAGCCTAACATGAACGAACCGGCCAAATAACATCTCAAGCACAACCATGCACGAACCGAAACCCGACTATGCACAACCAAGTGACATCCCAAGTGACTATGCCCAAGTGACATCCTCATAGCCCGAAAAGTTATGTAACCGGAGCCAGACCAGTTCTGTAACCGGAACCCGACCAGTTGTGTAACTGAAGGCCGGCCATGTGTGTAACCAGCCCCCGACCAGTTGTGTAACCACAAGCCTAGCATGAACAAACCAAACAAACAACCTCTGGAGCACAACCATGCACGAACCGAAGCCCAACCATGCACAACCCTTAGCCCAAGTAACACCCCCGGAGCCCGACCAGTTAAGTAACCGGAGCCCGACCAGTTATTTAACCGGAGCCCGACCAGTTATTTAACCGGAGCCCGACCAGTTGTGTAACCAAAGCCCCACTAGTTGTGTAACCGGACCCCGACCAGTTGTGTAACTGCAAGCCTAGCATGAACGACCCGAACAAACAACTGAAGCACAACCATGCACGTACATAAGCCCGACTATGCACAACCCGAAGCCCAAGTGACACCCCCCTAGCCTGAACAGTTATGTAACCGGAGCCCAATCAGTTGTGCAACTGGAACCCCACCAGTTGTGTAACTGCAAGCCTAGCATGAACGACCCGAACAAAACCTCTGAAGCACAACCATGTACGAACCGAAGCCCGACCATGCACAACCCGAGGCCCAAGTGACACCCCCGGAGCCCGACCAGTTATGTAACCGGAGCCCGACCAGTTGTGTAACCGAAGCCCGACCAGTTGTGTAACCAGACCCCGACAAGTTATGTAATCGCAAGCCTAACATGAACGAACCGGCCAAATAACATCTCAAGCACAACCATGCACGAACCGAAACCCGACTATGCACAACCAAGTGACATCCCAAGTGACTATGCCCAAGTGACATCCTCATAGCCCGAAAAGTTATGTAACCGGAGCCAGGCCAGTTGCGTAACCGGAACCCGACCAGTTGTGTAACTGGAGCCCGACCAGTTGTGTAACTGGAGCCCGACCAGTTGTGTAACCGAAGCCCGGCCATGTGTGTAACCGGCCCCCGACCAGTTGTGTAACCGCAAGCCTAGCATGAACAAACCAAACAACCTCTGGAGCACAACCATGCACGAACCGAAGCCCAACCATGCACAACCCTTAGCCCAAGTAACACCCCCGGAGCCCGACCAGTTAAGTAACCGGAGCCCGACCAGTTATTTAACCGGAGCCCGACCAGTTATTTAACCGGAGCCCGACCAGTTGTGTAACCAAAGCCCCACCAGTTGTGTAACCGGACCCCGACTAGTTGTGTAACTGCAAGCCTAGCATGAACGACCCGAACAAAACGTCTGAAGCACAACCATGCACGAACCGAAACCCGACTATGCACAACCAAGTGACATTCCAAGTGACTATGCCCAAGTGACATCCTCATAGCCCGAAAAGTTATGTAACCGGAGCCAGACCAGTTGTTTAACCGGACCCCGACCAGTTATTTAGCCGGAGCCCGACCACGACCAGTTGTGTAACCGCAAGCCTAGCATGAACGAACCGGAGCCCGACCATGAACAACTAGAAGCCCAACAAGTCACACCCCCGGAGCCCGACCAGTCGTGTAATCGCAAGCCTAGCAAGCAAATCTCTCACCCAACCCCCCACCAGTGTGCTAAGTGGGGGTGTCAAAAAGGTCCATTTTGAGGCCAACCCTTTTTGTCATACACATCAATGACATAGATGAGAATATTACAAACCATATCAAATTTGCAGGTGACACTAAGATCTATGGTAAAGTGGTAAGTGAACCTTACAAAGAGATCTACATGAACTCCACAAATGGTCAGATGACTTTTTAATGTCGATAAATGCAAGACCTTGCATGTGGGGCCTAGCAGTCCACGTCACAACTATTAAATTGACAGCACTACCTTTCAACAGATAGATGAAGAAAAGGACCTTGGAGTCAGAATCCATCACGTGAGGCATAACAATACACAACACAACTACCAAATCATCAACATTATCTTGGAGTCAGAATCCACCAATCACTGATAGTTGTACAACAAGTGGGAGCGGCAGTAAAAAAGCAAACCAAACCCTGGGAATAATCATGGGTACCTTTACCTTCAAGGAAAAGAAAGTAGACCTTCAATTGTATAAGTTTCTGGTGCGCCCCCACAGGAATTATTGCATCCAGGCATGGAGACCTCATCTTCAGAAAGACAAAGCTGCTCTGGAGCCATGTCTTACCAGAGCTATGGAGCTATGTCTTACGACAAAAATCATACCAAAGCTTAATCATCTCTCGTATCAGGAACGTATCAGTGCTAACACCACCACAAACCAGGCATGACAGGGCGGACTTCATAGTACTCTTTAAAATACTAAACAATTTGGAGGATGTCGATCAGGACAATGTCTTCAAAAGGTCAGATGTTACATGAACAAGGAGCAACGGGTTCAAAGTCAACAAGCCAGAATGTTGGACAGGAAACAGATGCTTTTTTACCCATAGGGTTGTAAACCCGTGGAACCGCCTACCCGCCGAAGCCGTAAACGCCAAAACTCTGCTGGGTTTTAAAATACAGCTGGAAAAGATCCTCAGGACAAATAGGGGGGACCTTTGACAAGCCGCCGGCTTACTGTCCTCATCGAGGCCACTAGTGTTAGTAGCCCATAGGTAAATTCAGTTCCTGGAGGGGTGACCCTGCTCCTTCCCGTTGGGAAATTGTTCATCTATTCCAGTAATTGTACACATGACTGTCACTTGTCACTAAACTTGGTTTTTAAACTTAACTTGATGAAATAATATTACCTTATACACGAGAATAATTCTGAATACGCACTGCAATTAAATTGACGAATGAGGCTTTGGGTTGGGCGGCCACGGAGGCGAGCCTGGCCTGAGGACAGGCAACTGTAAATGCTTCACCCTCCACATACTTCAAGTGCAAATAATTGCCAACAGAACCTAAATACCGAACCTACTATACGCCTAATTAAGCATAGAATATAAAATTAATTTATACACGATAAAAACTATTTTTAATATACAGTATATGAAAGTCGATAATAAATGCGTCTTGGGAGGTGGGGGGGAGGGGGGGGGTCGACCGCCGTGTTAACGAGCCTAGCCTGACGACGGGGTGGTTTAACACTATGGGGAAGTGTATTCTATATAATATCCTACCCATATAATATTAGCAAATCATGATCAACAAAATCTTCCACAATATCCGAGAGGACAGACTATTTAGCATTAGTGGAATACAAACATTTGAATACTACAGAACCCGGATGAAAAAAATACAACGACTCTCCGAGACATTACAAAACTCAATGTTATAATAACGAACAAATGTATAATGCATTAAGCAGTGGTAGGTAGACTATATATTCATATATAGTCTATACTCTGCTCAGATAGCAAAAAAAAAAAAAAAAAAAATATCAGCCTTACCTACACGGGACCGACATAGTTCACGCCGCCGCTGCTTCCTGACGACTGGCGGGGTCGGCGTCGATGACCCGTTAGCGTCCAACCAACCCAGAGACCCCCTGCCTAAAATTATTTGAACGCCATATTGAAATTCCTAGCGTATAGCGCCAGGAGTGTGTAAATTAATATTTATATGCATTATAGGCCTTTCTAAAATAAATTTAAGATCTGAATATCATATATTGTCTAACAAACGAATTATTTATGTTAATATTTTAATTATGCCAGATACGAGTCTCAACGCACACAAGAAGATTCGTTAGTGGATTTTTTTCATTTTTTTTTTTATTTATATATAAAAAGAGTTCTTAAATTCTTGTAAAGTCACTAGCATGCATAGTGTTTCGGGCAAGTCCTTAATTAATCCTATTTTTTTCCAGGGAATACGACCCGCCAAATCGTTTAACAACCTATTCTCTGCTGGGTGAACAGTTAGATTGTCGCCCGGTCAATCCTTCCCGGCCAGCAGGTCAAAGCGCTGGCGAAGTGCCGGGCGCGTGCGATGCCACAGAGACTGCTCCGTGGCATAGTAGAATTTTTAATTTTGAAACTTGACTAACCTAGCTCAACCCAACCTAACGTAACCCAAATCAAACCAATCTAATCCAACCGAGCCCAATGCAGCCTAACCTTAATAACATAACCTAATACAGTCTAGCATAACAATACATCCGGATTTAAAACAGAAAATGAGTTAAGCCTAGTCTCGTTTCTGAACCGACTCTTGTGTAACCTAATTGATGATTGATGAAGATTAAGCCAGCCAAAAGGTGGCACGGGCATGAATAGCCCGTAAGTGGTGGCCCTCTTGAGCCATTACCAGTATCAAGAGCTGATACTGGAGATCTGTGGAGGTGCGGCTGCACCCTGCGTGACGGGAGATGTCTCCCGTGTCATTGTGTAACCAGAGCCCAAGTAGTTGTGTACCCACAGGCCTAGCAAAAAACACCTCACCTAACTCCAAAAAGCACACCGAGAGCCCTATCAGAGTAGGGAGGGTCCACAGACGAGATCGTGGTTGTAAGTATAGATCCACAGGCATGGGCCCCAGTGCCCATCATCTGGGTTGGGAGGCAACAGTGCATTGCTTTGCTCAGTATAATGCTGCTAACACAGCCCTGCCTTCAGTAAGCAAACTTTTCAGGATTATTTAATTAGCTAAGATTTACCTGAATTTACAAGAGGATCACTATCTCTCAGTGAGGATAGGAAGCCGGCGGCTTGTCAAATGTCCCCTATTTCTGCCCGAAACGCTGCGCGTACTAGTGGCTTTACAAGAATGTAAATACCGTGCTATGTAACCTCACAAACCCAATGCACCTTCTTGTATATAAATAAATAAATAAATAAATAAATAATATTTGCCCTGGTGATTTATCGAGCAATGTTTTATCATTTACGGCTTCGTCGGGAAGGTGGTTCCATGGTTTCCCTGAATTTACTTGAGGGTGGCCCTCGGGCAAATTCAGGTATCTCTCTCTCTAGTGGTCTCGACGAGGACAGGAAGGTTGTCTGGCTTGTCGAAGGCTCCTCCCTTTTGTTTTGGGGATTTTATCGAGCTATGTTTCGGCATTTACGACTTCGGCGGGTATGCGTTTCCACGTTATAATTCTATGGGTGAAAACAAATATTTTCCATCCTTCAGTGTGGCTTGTTGAGCTCGAAACTGTTGCTCCTTGTTCGCCTTACATCTAGCCTTTTGAAGAAGTGTTCTGGGTCAATATTTTCCAAATTGTTCAGTAATTTAAAAGTTTTGCTGAGAGCAGCCCTGTCATGTCTGGTCCCTGTGGCCCTCAACCGTCCCTGGTATGAAAGTTGACTTAGTTCGGGAAAGATTTCAGTCGCCCGGTGTTGAACTTTCTCCAAAGCAGGTATGTCTTTCTGAAGATGAGGTCTCAATGAGTGGATATAATAATCAAGTGGAAGCACACCAGAGATTTATACAGTTGTATAACTATTTTTTCCTTCGTCAAAATTTCGTTTGACTATTCCAAAGGATTTGGTTTGCTTTTATAAAGCGTTGCTGCTTTGAGAAGTACTCAATTTTTTTTTTTTTGCACAGTTCTTTTATATGAGTGTTTCAGCTCCTCTCTCATTGATGATTCTTGTGTATCTGGGGACATCAAGAATTATACCTAATCAATGCCTAAATATACACTATGCTAATATATAACAATACTAATTTATATTTGAGAAAATTCCTATTTTGAATGAACAGCATGTTAAAATTTATGAATGCGTCTTTAGGGTCGACTGCTAGATGGACTGGACTTGGTCTGAGGACAGGTTGCATTATTTCAAAGTGACTAATGCCTTGCATAAGAATTATTAAACTAAAATACAGTATTAGAAAAGCATTGTCTGCTCTTCAAATTGTATTCCAGTACCTCACATTTCAGAATGTTTTTGCTAAAAAGAAACATTTATGCCATGGATTGTATCAATTCAATGTGCTATTTCAAATCATCAATAACTGCAGTTCCATCCTAGTTGTCTAATTTTAAGTATTCAGTTTAAGATTTGGCCCAAATACTGTACAGTACTATGGTAAATTTATTGTCTGATATTACAAGATGAGAAAGAGATTAAGGTCAACTTTGTGCTTTCCCAATGTTAAAGTAGGGAATAAATTTTTTTTGTTACTAACAGATTCCTTGTCGCACTTTGAAACACGACACCGCCACAGATGTGGCAGTGGCAGAGATATCCAAAAACAGTTTTCTGCAGTATAGGGCCAAGATTAGCAACAAAATTATCAATACCTATTGCCTCATAGGCAACACTAGTGAACTGACAAACCAGATCTGCCCATTACATCATAAAAGCCCTGCAGAGTCAGTTTCAAAAGCCTTGCCATGGCTCTTGGTAACATTCAAGCTCGTACTAAAAATTGGGTATATTGTGTCCCTTCTACACTTTGGCCCAAAATAGGACTTCATAAACCACATTTAAATCCTCTTACCACACCTAACTTCCCTTCCAGCAAGGCAGTAACCATGGGGAAGAATTTGGTTCCAGATGATCATCATCAATGAAAGTTAGGTAACATAACTTGTCAGACAAATGCAAAAGGTACTTGCTCTTAATATAGGCTTGGCCAGGCATATTCTTGGTATACAAATAAATGCATTGCAGTCTAAGGGGAGACATTGGTATTGATAGTTTAGTATATGCTAAAGAAATATCACCATATTAAAATGCAAGTTGTATCATTTCAAGGTTGGGCTGCTCATGTTCAAATTGAACTTTGTGGAAATCTTTTGTAAGGATTTATGAATACAGTAAACTGAATTCAATTTTTTTTTTTTTACCATGCATACATGCCGATAATCATGAAGTTTGAATGAATAATTTACTGTTTTTTTTTACATGTAAATTTACATATACCAATACAAATGTGTTTCTAAATTGGCTGGTGAAAGCCTGAGGTGAAGTTGTCATAAAGGTGTTTACCAGGCCACCTCTCACCTTCCCACATTTCACTCATATCTGGCCATTTGTCCCCCAACATTAGGGATTAAAACAGATGCAACTTGTTGCACTTTCTTATCACTCAAAAACTTGAAATAAAACGTCTAAAGCTAATGTAAGTGAGGAAGTATATTTTGTAAATAATAAAAGGCGGATAAAAAATAAAAATATCAGTACTATAATCACAATACAGAGACATATGTATGGAAGAGCCGATGACAAAATGTGTCATGCTTTTAAAATATCGTTTCTCTTGGAATGCTTCCGAACTATTATCAGCACCCAAAGTTTATGTAGCCTTATCATAATTAAGTACAAAGTAACAAGGAGTAGCTTAAAAGTTCACTTACAGTTTTATCACTGGAAGTATTATGGATGGCAACCGAAATACTTCCATATTATGGATGGCAACACTGATCATGGAAACTAATTGCAAGTTACATGATCCAGCAATGCATAAAATATTGACACTATTCCACAACAATTAATGAAATTGTTAACAATACTAGTACTAATCACCAAATAACAACGATGTCAAGTAACCACATTAGGGGCATACAAGTCCTGAGGCTGCCGGTAACTGAACACCATGAGCTAAAAAATTTATATGAAATATATGTATACTGTATATCATATTATATTAAAATATATATATATTGTGTGATATAGATAATATATTTATATATATAACACCCAGTATATATAATATATATAACATATACAGTACATAGTACACAGACACACATTTATTGCATCAATAACACATTTTATTTGGGACGGAATGTAAAACGGAAAGTGTGTAGCCTTGCAACCCAAACAATCTTGCTCTTACACCAATCATGAACAAATTCAGACTTCTGCTTGACATCAAATACAACTTTACAGCCAACAATTCCAAACTAACAAGCTTCATCACTAGCATAAAAAAAAAAAAATCCTTGCAACAAATTTGTTTTCTTCTTTTACAATACCCTTCTACACATCCCAAAGTCTGTATTTACTATCAGGGAAGCATATACTCTCTGCCAACACTGGCAGAAATGATGCCACTTGTTGAGGAACCTTCCATGACAAGTAACTAGCCGCACACAAGCTGCAGTGTCCTTCAGACCAACCAGAGTTTGAGCCAAACGCTCCTAGCTTGTATCCACCCTTATAAACCATTATTTTCTTAATAATGGTTACCTTTTTCTCAGCTTTTCTTATGCTCAGTATGAGCATAATGGTACTCCTTTCACCTTAAAAACTTTTATAACCATTATGAACATACAATTTAAAACAAATAAATTAAAAGTACTGTATTATAATTCTGAACATGACATGTATGAATAGCACAAGAGCATTCCACCACAGTGGTCAATATGGGACATCATACGTGCACACACATACACGCACACACATATCCATACATGCGCACACATCTATATACGTGCACACATTCATACACGCGCACACAAAATCTTTTCCTTATTTCCAAGATGCAAACACACCACCACTCCTCTCTTTAAAAATGAAATGAATGCGAGTGACAACCATTAGGCATATAAACATTGCAACTAATTATGATAAAACACTACAAACATTTGGAAGGCATATATGATGGTTTCACTACCATATAGGTACTGTGCACAATAATGTATATACAATGGACACCAGGAAGTAATTCTTAGCAGCAAGTTAAAGCTAATCTGAATTGATTATACATTTTTAAAACCAACCACTGCAATTTCTGAAAATTTTTGGAATGTAATACAATCAATCCTAAATAAATGACTAATGGGCAAGATATGAAAAGATCCTACCACCTAAGCAAAGTGAAACTGTTCACTGCTGGACGACAAAGAATAGCCATAAACTGCCTAGTGCCTGCTACCAAATACTGTGTTCTCCCAGGTACAAACAGGCACTGGACAGCACCCAAGTGCAGCAAAGTCTCTAGCATTAGTGACTGTGGCTGCCACTTGGGACCATTTACAGTTATTCGAGTCTTTCCAGAACTGAACAATTACTCTATGATACTTCTTACATTTCATATCAACACTCTTTGAATTTGGTAGTAAAGAAAGATTTGTGTCTCAGTATGAGAATGAGTATGAAAGTGTAAGTGTGTGTGTGTGATTATGAAAGACAGTATGTGTGTATGTGGTGTGTGTGTTTGCAGGTCTATATTTAAGATATATACTGTACATAGATTTTTTTCAGATAAAGCACTTTCAAATAAAGGCAACATTACACTGTCCCTCCAACTGAGAAGAGGGTATATTTGCAGTCCTTTTAAAGGAAGCAATTTGACAAAAAACTAATTGCTTCCCAATAAGGCAATGGGGAAAAAAAAAGACATTACAGATTATCTATAGGCACTTCATACACCTGTGAATGTGACATTCGGGTTTATGGAAAAATCGGCACATTCTGCTACGGTGGGCTAAAATAATCTATCACTGATGATAAAACAGATTGCACAAAGTCCATCGTGGTGCTAACCTGTGCTACATTTCAAAGATATTAATTAAGTTTTTAAGAGCATTTGTGAATGAATGTCACTTTTAAAACAGCCAATTCTAATGACAAATTGGTCACATTTCTTTAGTCCGTTAGTCGACAGCTTTCTATACAAAATTTTGTACACTACAAATAATTTGAAAGCTTTAGAAGAATATTTATTTAACAATCTAAAAAATATATATTTTATTAAAAATTAAAGATGCAAGACTCCTTCATCTTTACTGGATTGTGAGGAATGTGAAAGTGGTGCATCAGTGAGGGAGTCCCCAGCAGTAAGATCACGTATTTCATCCTGGTCATATCGGTCCTCGTCTGAAGCAGACTGGTGTGACTGTTGTGATCCAGACGACATTGCTGAATTACGAGAAAAAGAGCCTCGGCGAGGAGTGTGAGACTGCGTCCTCTGGTTGGCAGGCTTTACCGTGATGATCAAATTGCTGCTATTGGCTACCATCATATCTGTCACCTGAATAACATGAAATCACTTTTCATTAAGTATCAAACTTCAAATGGAATTACACAATTGCACTAAGAATCAAACAAACATCTTTATTTAAACTTACAGGATCAAAGTTAATCATACCCTCCATATGTCAACATTATTCTTCTTCTCTTTTTGCACACTAACTGATATGCTCCAGGACCTTGTTAACATAAGTAATTTATATTTTCATTCCAATCTCTGAATAGGAATTTTTACTCTCCTACCATCATCATTGTCACTGTTTCCCGCTCACATTAGGTGGAGAGGCATCATCGTAAGTTATAAATACAGTAATAAAAAAAATAAACAAGTACTGAATGTGATAAAATCTACTTTTCAAATTGGCCACTCAATAGCTTCCCAAGTTGTAGCACTGGGGCTGTCAAGCCTCATGAAATCAACCAGGGTTCTACCTAACTTGATACCTACCAGATATGGTTGATACCTACCAGAGCTTGCCAAGATGTAGGATCATAATTTGGTGCTCACTCTGAACGGGAAGCTTAAGAGATCAAGAGATCAACAAAGACATGGCATAGAGGGTAAACCACACTGGTAAAGTTCAGGCTGCCCAAGAGGCACTCTTGGATGTCCCAATGGGAATGCTGAAATCTTTCCAGCACCTGCCAGTGATGATGGTGCAGCCACAATAAGTCCAACCACTGCATTGTGTGAGAAGCCATCCTGGTCACCCATACCTAGCCCAACCAAGTTAAAACCTGAGAAGGCATCAAAATGGAATGTTTGCCAGTCGACCAGAAGGCCATAGTGGGCCAACAACCAGATAAGCCCACCAGCTGGGGTGCCAAACCAACTAGTTGTCAAAGTAGGCCAAAACTCTGATCTCCTCAAATGAAAATGTGAAAAGATCCCATGAATTTGCCCTAAAGTTGCACTAGATGTTCCCCCACTCTGAACCCCAGCCAATCCATGAACTTTGGGTGGATGGGAATGTGGACACTGGACATCTGGAATAAAGATAAAATTATACCAGTACTTGTGTTCCTGACCACCAGTGGGAGGCCCATATGTTATTACCCATAATGTACCTTTGTGTGTCTACCCTGTATCATTCTACAATTTAAGGATCATACATTGACCTGAAAAAGATAAACTATTTTTTTTTAAGGCATAGGCAGCTGGATACGAGTGCCCTGACAGATTGGAGTAACTGGTCAGACATGGGTAAGGGCTAGATATGGATAATCAGCCCGAAACGGGTGATCTTGCCCTGCTAACATCTCTGCCAAATATCCATGGCTGTACCTTGGGTGTTACTATGTTGATGAACATACTGTTACCCCAAAGACTGGTTCCCTATCAAAGATAACATTTGCACAATTGAGAATTCACTAACCTGGTCCAATGTTTTGCCATTCACTTCAATTCCATTCACCTCCAGTACTTCATCATTAACTGCCAAGAGGCCGGTGCTCTCTGCCAATCCTCCAGGTACTAAGCGAGAAATGAATATACCAGGTACTCTTTCCAAGCCATGTGGAGTGACCCTTACACTAGTCCCATCTCGAATGTAGAACCCAAGTGGTTTATCTGAACCATGTTTCAGCAGCCGTACTCTTCTACAAACTTCTGGCACTACATCCACGTCAATGATAGCCGCTACCTGTTTGAATAAATTCAATTAAATATCTAATCCAAGGTGTAGAAGCAAAATAAATATTAGGATTACTTTTAATTTGCTTTCTCAGGCCTAATACTCAACATGCAGTTGTTGTATAACTCAATACTGAAGCTTTAAATTCTATGTACTGGTACAATACTGGGGGTTTAGCAGAGAAGGATGAGGAAAGGAAGGAGGGAAAATGAGAAGAGGAAAAGTGTGAGGATTTTAGTAGTGGTAAATGAAGACTGAGGTGGTGGTGGTGGGCAATATTAGCTAGTTTGTGTGTGCTGCTGATGGAAATGTTGGAGTTGCAGTACTGTATATCCACTTCCAAGTGTCTCTCTCTTTCCAAAGTTCTGTAGTTGTCTTTTCTAGTGGAAAAGTGGTGGGAAGTTGTGATGGTGGGATGGGGAGCTGGCGCTGGTATTAGAGGTTGGTGACGATCATGGTAAATGGTAGGTATTGGTGGTTGAGAGAGAGAGAGAGAGAGAGGAAGGGGCAGGGGGTGGGAGAAGGGAAAACACTGTAAACTAACAAAACAGTATTGTCATTACATCAATTAACCATATTTATTTTCAAAGACTGAAAATAGATATTGTTAATCACACAACACTTAAGTCAAACTCATACAAATTTGGAAAAAATTCTGTGATACCAATTCTGAAATGCCAACCACCATAAAAACAAATGGATAATTAGTGCAAATATAAACAAAATTGCAATGCAAACAAATTATGTTGGGATAATGAGAATTTACATGCTAGACCTTAATGTCATTGGTTTAAATAAAAGTATTTTTACCAGTTCTTGCAATACAAGAAAAATACCTCAAGTACACACTTTTCTAGTTCAGCATCTCTTGGCATCAATGTGTGCATGTATATACATCAACTGTGTCTAATTACCTAATTGTAATTACAGGGTACCTAATGTGTGTCCGAGTGCGTTATTAATTTTAGTGCAGTTGCGATAATCTGCTTTTATGTATTATTCCATGTCTTTTTCCCCCCTACACATATGAGTGTTTAAACTATTACGGGTGTTCCTTACACTAAGTGCTGGGAGGCCATTAAACAGTCATTCACCAGAATCTGGAGAAAAAAAATATATAAACACATACACACACACACACACACACACACACACACACACACACACACACACACACACACACACACACTGGTCTTTGTGGGACCAAAGAGCCAGACCTCAATCCCCGCAAGCACAACTAGGTAAGTACACACACACAGTGTCAAACCTACCTGGAATGCCTACGGGTAAATTCCCATTTTGCTCCTACACAATTAACCTCAACTTTGCACAAAAATGTAACTAGACATTACAGATATATATTACATTACCTGTCTAAAATCTTGAGGATACGATATTGATAGCTTATTTATGGGTTTTGTGACAAACGGTGAGAGAATACTGGATATTTTATAGTGGGACCCATTTGGTAGGTGCTCCAAACTCCCTGCAAATGATAACACACATTAGCTCATTGACATCATTGCTCTAATACAATGCATATAGTATACATTGTATACTATATACATATATACTCAAATAGTATAGTATACAGGAAGGCTTTGCATACATCACTGTAGTACAGTACTGTATACATAAAGTATGAAAAATGCAATTATAATTTGCATGTTTGCTTAAAAAAAATTGCTAAATTTGTTAGGCTGGTAATTTTTTTTAGCAACCTAATGTCTGTACATAAATTTCAACTCCCTTTAGACTATCAATGATAGATTTTAACAACCATCTGTAGTACTGTACTAGCAAGTATTGTTACTATTGTTACAGTGTTTGGCATTGGGTTAGTGCATGGCCCAATAGTAACTTTACCCTATATTTATTTGTCCAAAAGGTTTTGGGCAAAACCAAATTTAACGTGAACAGTTTGAAAGAATTATCATGATATTAATTTTTTATTATACATCTTTGCCTTTAAACAGTACCCAACAAATGACCCAAAATTACCTTTCTGCCACTATTATTTTGAGAAGTTTCCATATTTTGAAAAGTAAATTATCTAAATTTACAATTTAGCCTTAAGTGAACTTTGCAAACAATAAGTACTGTATGTTTGAATGCATTAAAATAAACACATCAACCTTGATCTACAAACATGACATTTAAGACATACGATACTTCAAATGCTCAAATGACATATGATACTTCAAATCAGACATACTTCAAATGTTTTGAATTACATATCAGTAAGTATTATAAAATCTTGGCATTATTCTACTGAATCAATTTACAACAATTCAAAGTTTAAAGTATAACAAAATACATTTTAGGAATCTTAAACTTATGTGATATAACAGATATTAAAACAGTACAGTAATCATTGAAATGTACCTTTATGTTGGACGATGATCTTAAGTACTGGACGGGCACACTGGAGGGCTTTTCTAAAATTGTCATCATTGGTGATAGGTAGTAGGTCACCATCTCGAGGGTCTGTGTATGCTAACACAAAAGCTATATTGGCTAGTCTATGTAATTCCTCAACTAGCCTTCGAAAATCATCAAGTTTTTCATACTTGTCTCGTTCAACACTAAAACGCCGGAACTCGGCATCAAACTGTAAAAAAATTAATCAAGAAAATATACCAATTAAAAAAAAATGGTACAAGGAAATTTTTATACAAGACTCTTTGTTACTCACCTTAACCACTGCACTGTGCATAGCACCTTAAGGCGCTCATTGGGTATTGCGAAAAAAAAAATAATAATAATTAATTTAGTAAATGTTTTTAATGCTTTTTAATGTTTGTTCACTCTGATTTGAAATAAAAAATTGAGTTTGACAACATTGACATTTTTCTCTTTTTAAAAATGTTCAGTTTACGTTAATTCATTAACAATTGCACCATGAAGTTGTCACATGAATCAGGTACACATGTAACACCTCCACACTGCTACTCCCCTTACTCGCTTAATAACCCAGCTTAACACCTACACACAGTGCAGGGGTTAAGACCCAATCTTATTGGTACCATTGATAGCTTCATGCTTAGTCTGGGCAGTTCTACATTCTGCAAGTATCAGCTCATGCTAGTTGATAGGAAGATACTGCAGAACATTCAATCCAGCACAAAATGGTCTCTAGAAAGCATACTCATAACTCAGATTTCCATCCATGTGCAACTTGACATTACAGGGTACCCTGACTTAAGCTTTTCACATTTTGCCATATTTACAAGAACAAAAACCAGATTGGAGAAGACAAGGACAGACGGGAGGAACAAGAGCACCGAGTGTAACGCTTATAGAAAAGCTTCATATTACAGTACAGTATTGCACTGCCCTTTACAGTATACAGTAATTCCACTCAAATGGTAAGACTCCTGCTACCCTATCCATTAAAAACAAAAACAAAAAAATAGCACACAACTTATACTGTATATTTTTGAGCAACAATTACAATACAGTACATACAATCTTTCCACATTTTCAATATTTTGAAAGCAAATCATACATCATCTCGCAAGTCAAGCCTGGTCTCAGGCCAGGCTTGGCGAGTAGAACTCCCAGAACCCCATCAAGCAGGTTAGCTATGTTTTAGTACCAAAAAGCCCTTTAAGAAAATAATTTGTTAATATTTTGTTCAATCTCTTTTGTTAAAGTTGAAACTTGAACAATGTTTCCCCACACTACAGTCCCAATATGATGCTATTACATTCAGACAACTCTGTTCAAAAGGAATTTTAAATTTTCTGCTGCTTTACTGGCAGTACCCCAAAATATACCCTATGCAACACCAGAAGGTGCAGACTCCGTGGGGAAAGCAACACGAAGCTCAACTAATAAAGGCAACATGCCACTGCCCCCATTGGAGTAGGCCAAATGGCCAACGCCTTTAACACTTCTAGTGGTGCTGTTTAACAGAGTCTCAAATCTGGGACGCCCAAGTATTATACCTTGGAAAGCACCGAACCCCAAGAAAGAAATGAAGCACACATGCGTGGCCCCTGCCACATGGTAGCGGCACTGGCCCAACGTGCAAGTCATACACCTGCAAACAACTCGTGCCCAAGACAGAACCAGTGCTAACCGTTACGAACGTCTGACACACACACACACACACACAGCACACCCGTGGTTGTTAAGTAATGTATCTGGAACCCAAGAAGGGGCGTTGTGGAGGCCAGGAGGACAATGACCAAGGTCAAAACCAGACAGAATACCTCCAGAAAGTTTCAAGTACAATACCAGAAACTGGCTGGAACTGGGAGGGAAAGGCAGAGAAACCTACTAGATACACACACACACACACACATTGCATCTTGTCAAACAAGAGTAGCTTTGCTATCCCTGCCCGTGACTACATGAAAGTGTATCATGGTTTGGATTCACCTTAACTGATTCAAAACATTTACTGTAGAAAATAAACAAATTAATCGGCCTGCCCATGTGGCTAGCTCATGCTGTCACATTAATGAGCATATAAGACCTGCCTGACAAAACTATGACGACACACCACACCACACAAAACTATGTATTTCTGTCGTCAGCTATAGTTTAGGTTAGGTTTATTTAAGAGTAGCAACAAGAGATAGTCTGTGTAACTTTTCGCAGCTCCTAACACTACTGAGATAAAAGTAATTCTAGACGAGAAAGAAATATAACTGGCCGACTGCCCTGGTGACACTCACACCGAGAACTCCCTTCTATATATTACACAAGATACACTTGCACGTTTCATGGGATCTATATTGCAGACATACATCCTGGGGAAGGAGGAGGGGGCGGCAGACAGGCTACAGGGAAGACTAACACACCTGGCTGTGAATGACTCACCTGTAAATCGAGTCTTTTAAGAGGATTATTGAAAAGAAAGTCAACTCACCTTACTCTTAACTTCTATCAACGAACTCTGCGTTCTACTCTGCGTTTTGGAACTCCTGGACATCTTCAGCTAAGTTATAGAGGTGGGCGGGTCAACAAAATGGCAGTGAGAGTGAGTGGTTTACATTTTAAAGGACATTTTCGCCAGTGGTCGCCACTTGTTTTGGATTTCACAAACATTAACACAAGTCAGTGACGTCACGAGCACCTGTTGTTGCCTCTCGCTCCAAAATCTTTTTCCATGTTTCACGTAGAATTCACGATTATTAGATATATTTGTTACAAAGCCTGCTTTTATAAAATATATATTGGTGTATATGGAAGAGATAAACTACTAATAAAGTCAGTATAAGAGAATAATCATTAGATTCGTTTTGGCGTCAAGAAAAAGGGAGGACGACACCCGACGAGCGGGAACTTCAAACATGACACGGGGTCACGTCCATGACCTGGGTTCATTTTCGCTGCCTGGGGTCACGTCTATGACAAAAGGTCAATTTCACGGCCTGGAATTAATCACGTGATCCATGAGCCAAGGTCATGTTCACACGCCCTGGAATATATCGCGACTGTGACTTATAGGTACCAATATACTGCTAGGTGGACAGGGGCATTAGATGATAGGAAACGCGCCCAACCATTTCTGTCCTGCCCAGGAATCGAACCTGGAATTTTAGATTGAGTCGAGAACGAATCCAAATGCACTACCGGAACCCTAAACCCTATATATTATAGCCCTATATATAGGTGAACAAGCAGCTGCTTCTGTGCTACATTGTGCCTAGTTGAGCTGAAAGCTGTTGCCCTTTGTATGCATTGCATTTCACCTCCTAAATAAGTATTCTGGATTAATATCCTCTAACTTGTTCAGTATTTCAAAGGTCTCGATAAAATCAGATCTGTATTACACTCTGGCTTGTAGAGTACTTATAATTGTGTTTGTGGGGCTTGAGCTTCTTACTGGTCCTGTGGCCCTCAACCGTTCCTAGTATGAGAAATGACTTAGCTCTGGGAAGATTTTTATCGCTGTTGCTGCTGACTGAGGGGCGGCGACGGTCATTGTACGTGTCGCTGTGTGGCCATTCCCACGCGAGACGATACAATGAAGCTCGATTTATTTGTTAAAAAAATATATATTATGCTAGGATCGCTTCTGTGCCAGGTAAGTCCACAACGGGCTCACCATAGCCCGTGTTACTTGCAACTTTTTGTTCCGAGTAGCTGAAGCTAATATAACAGCAACAACATGGATTAGCTTGGGCTGTATTCAGCTCGGTTGGGTTAGGTAAAAGGTAAAGCTAATTAAGGTTAGGTAGGTTTCATTCACTTCAAGCCTTCCTTGTAACTAGTTAGTTTCTAAAAATGCGAGGAATGTACGGCAGGGTTTATTTTTAACAAAACCACGTTGCATAGATTTTATTAGCTTGTTGATGGCAAGATGGCGAATGATTTCCTCAGCAAGTTACACAAGCTTTCCGAGGTCTGAGGTAGTACATAAGTACTACCTCAGTACTATTTGGTAGTACATAAGTACTACCAAATAAACTTCATGTAACCTACCTTACCTCCTAAATGTCAACCTATGTCTTGCTATTTTGTTTTTAAATATTACTGATTATTAACCAAGTTGTTTAACTGCTGATATCTGCCATATATGATCTTTAAAAAAATAAAAAATTAAAGACAGTTGTATATCTTGTTTTAGTTAAAATTCATTCTGCTGTTCTATCCATCCTGTAATTATTATCATACTCTTTTTCGTGTTTAACTCTTTTTAAATTAAATTTATGCTTTTGATCTCAATTAGTATTAAGTTTTAGTCAGTTTTTCTCACACCTTGCTTGAAACACTTTGCATATTAGTGGCTTCAGGCACTGTATGTATTAGAACTATTTATTAATCCGACATTATGTTTGTAACTCATTTTCAATGTATGTACCTTTACCTGAATAAATATCTCGGCTTGCTGATATGAGGGGTCAACTTGATCGGACGGTAGTTTTCTCCAGAGACGTTTCTGCATTTTTTTAATTATGTTGTGCTATTTGCATATTTCCAATCTAGGGGAACTATTCCTTGATCCAAAGGGTTTCAGAGTTGTTTCAGTGTCAAGACATAATCCATCTGCCAGTTCCTTCACGATTTTAAATTTAATTCCATCCACACCTGGGGCTGTTGAATGAGGGTAGAAATAGTCTAAGCTATTCTATCCTTTTGAGATGTACCTTATGGTCTCAATGAACTTAATTGAACTTGGGGCTGTTGATTCCTTTAGTTTGCCTTTGTTCTTCCTAACTATATCACACGATGAGATACCTTTCCATTGGTATGCCAGTTCATTCAAGGCAGTGATGCACAGATATCGAACAGCATGTAAGCACTGAATCAAAAGAAGGCCCAAAGTCTATTAGTTGATGTGCAATCACAATTTTAGTAGTCTTTACAATTATAATCCTTTTTACCCCTTTTGTACGGACAACCGCTACACATCATCTTGTCAATTCACTTCTCCATTATACTATACTTCCCTTCCCCAACCCATCATACAGACTCCCAATTAACTTATGAATATTTGTTAATTTTTAAAGTCTGGCATCACATTTGGCTAACCAATCCCACCCTCCTTTGCAGTACACTAACATGACCTACAACTGTATATTTTTATCACATTAAAATTGAATTTAAAAAAAAAAACTACATTTCTGCTTATTGATGTACAGAAGTGAACACCTGTCTTGCAAGATCTAATTGCTGTACTATTATACTTATTTTACACCTTTCCAACTAGTTTCAAATTACTCGATTTTCTAAAGTAATTATTTATCAAAAGAAGGCACCAAATCGGGAAGGCCATGTTACACCATCAAATGTGCGGAATAATCAGAGGGCACTAAATACTGTATCACCAAGGATGCCATCACGAGAACAGAAATGCACAAGGCGAACAATATCAAAAGTATCCAGATTTTCTTAAAAGTAGTCATCCCATCTGGACATGCTTTGTCACCCATACTTTTAAGCCTCATGTCACCCTTAGTTAACCATGGTTCTACTGATCAGTTTCCTATCAAAACAGAGGATTTCTCTTTTCCGAGGTGGGGTTCACTTGCGTATCTTTACCATAAGTGTGAAATAATACTACTGCACATACAACAGCCAGTTGTGGTCTCTCTTGCATCAGTTTAATACCAATTTGCTCTGCTTGCTGGGTGAATAACAAGTCTCCTACATAGCTTATGTTTACAGACTACTTAATTTTGAGAATAAATCTTCTACAAATGCAGTTCATAATTATGTATTGTGGATCAAGCAACATCTGCCTGTTTACTGCTGGGCTGGCCTGGCCTGTAAAGTATGCAGAACCATTTTTTAACTTATTTCACCCTATTAACATTGTTTGCACACCTGTAACCTTGAAAAGTTTATAACAGGCCCTAAAGTAAAATGCACTGTACAGTATATAAAGCTTAATAATACGACAACAACAAATTCAAATGTTTATTATATACAATGGGCTTTGCAACTGCTCAGTTATACAATGACTTTGCAACAGGGCTCTACTAGATTATCATTTACATATAACCTCAGGCTAATAAAATACAGGAACTAATTATTAGAATACATAAATTATAAACTAAACAATTGTCGCATTTAAAATACTAAATTGAGATAAGGAACTAAAGCCTAAACCTATTTATACACAAGCATAATGATTTAAACCAAAACACAAAAATCAATGCTAATTATAATACATGTGAATTGTCTTTATTGTCTTAAAAGAAGCACACATTTTCCATTTAGGAATTCATGTAAAGTTACCAAATTCAGTGTTTAACACTACATGTACTGACCATTACAACTCCATGTACGAACATATATCCTTTACCTAACATTTCAGATTTTTTATTTTTTTTTTTTTTATTTTTTTTAACAGTACCAAGATGCAAGTGCCTAGTCGCTTGTCACACCACCCCCAGTAGCACCTCCAGGGCCAGGACCTACGAATATGAGAAGGTTTATACTGAAAATGCAAAGTGCAATGAAGACAAATGGAGCAATTGCCAAATGACAATTTTGCAATTTGAAAACATTTATACAAATGAATACTACACAAGACCATATTCGTATTATTTTAGGTAAATAAGTAATATGGAATCTTATGATATGAGAAAACAATTACAAATTCAGTACCTAATAGCTTAATCTAAATAATTAGCAGCTTAAAAAGAATTCAAGCCATTATGGGCTACCCGAGGAAGTGCAATTAGAGAATTGTAGTGGGGGGGGAAAAAAAAACGGTGAAAATGATTGAGTAACAATAAGTCAAGTTGCACTCCCACAAAACACATAAGGAATCCATGTCGTCATAGTAGGTCTAGCTGCCTTCAAAAGAATATCCAACATGTTTGTACAATTTATATTACAGTACAAGTTTATAGCAAGACTATTTCTGAAATATACATGCGTTATTTCAAATACTGGTACGTATTTGAAAAAAAAATATAAGAAAATTAAGATTTGATGAATATTTCTTGAAGTCATGAACCGACAATCCAGATTTAACAGTCTCCCTCTCCTAAATCCAGACTTTTTCTATTAGACGCAAATTTCAAAATGAAAATTTGGTTGACATTTTATGTTATTCAGAAGGATCCGTTATATTGAAGTCTGGATTTTCAAGGGTGCGGTGTAATTAACACAAAAGATATATAGTATCTCTCAGAGATACCTAGCTAATATCCCAATTGACAAACAGTAGCCAAAAGCTAAATTCAAAACTTATTTCAAGCAAAAATGTAATAAAAACAAAAATCTTGTCGTCATTCACCTTTCTCACCTCTGCCGTCACAAGCAACAATTTTCAACTTGTCAACCTGTGCAAAGTCCTGAACTTCTTTGAATTCCACATCAGTCATCAAAAAAGTCCAAACATTGTCACAAAATCGGTAGGTGTTCAACTTGTTAGCCTGCAAGTGAAATGTTTATTATTGAATACCGATTAAAAAACTAGAAAACAAGGACTGCTAGTTAATTAAAGAAGGCACAAATTAAATAAATTGAGAGGGAAATATACTGGAGTGTATAAACATCACTGTAAACACTATAAATATCAGAGGTCCATGGTTGTTAAATATCCTCCCACCGAGTACAAGAAATATTGCCAGAACAACTGTGAACATCAAGATAAAACTAGATAATTTTCTCCAAGGAGTGCCAGACCAACTGGGCTGTGGTGGATGTGTGGGCCTGCTGGCCGCTCCAAGCAACAGCTTAGTGGACCAAGTTCTCAAGTCAAGCCTGGCCTCAGGCTGGAATTGGGAAGTAGAAGAATTCCCAGAACCCCATCAAGCAGATAAGCAAGCAGAAAGGAAAACGTTTTAAGGGGCCCGGTGACTGTGCACCAAAACTTCCTCAAACACTCAATTTTTGGTGAATTATGTCTTCAAGGTAAATTCTCCAACTTTTCCTAATGGATCAACATCATACCACGAACAGAAAAAAGTTAAAAATATAAAAAAAAAAATCACAATTTCAAATTGGTGATAAATCTTAAAATGTTACCAATTGTTATTTTATTACCAGTGTCTCAGAATGGCATATAACATTTATGTTGTATTGATAGAATGGTTTAAGTATAGTTGACTGTAAAACATTTTTTAATTATGGCCATCCAAATATGTGCCAAATTTATACATAAATGTACAACTCAAAATATTATGGTTATATGACTAAACAAAACTAGAGACCTTAGAACTAGGAACTTTGCACATAATATATAAAAATGGTGAGGATCGGTCAGACCAAAGTTTTTATCAGGTCTCTAAATTCTGTTCAAAGAGAAAAATGAAGTTAAAGTTCTTGACAATGTATATAGTAATTAGAATTTATGACTCAAATTTTAATTAAGATTGCTTGGCATTCATAATCCAATGTGAAAGTTGTAGGTCATTATGTCTTTAAATGTCAAGAAAAAATACACCCCCTAAAAAAATAAACATAGGGATACATTAGGGATAACTGTAAAACAGAGACTGGGCCCCTTAACTGTAACAGTAGGTGAGATAGAGATACTATAAATAGCTGCTGCCTCATATGGGCCAGTAGGCCTTCTGCAGTTGCCTTCATTCTCATGTTCTTATAACAAACATGCTTAGTGCCAGATATGCATTCTCCAAAATGTACAAGTCACAACAAAATCCGCATAGAAACGAAGGAGAAAAAAAGGGGGTTGGCAGCTTTTCGTACATAGAAACATAAGAAATACTGCCATTAGGCAATGTATTTATATGATATATAATAAAACACAGCATAACATACTAACTCATGTGCAAAACCTGGCCCTCCAGGTGACACCAGCCGCACATCTACTTTTGTAGACCTTCCTTACTACTACTACTACTATTCTTTGTGCGTCGGACAAGTGCGTGCATCTCTATCCCTGATTGCCAGTAAATAGGTGGTGTTATCATTATCATCAGTACCGGTTGCTGCCCGTTGTGCATACATTTATTTAAAAGAGTTTGTAAAAAATTAATTTTTAACATATTTGAATAAAATTGTCACGACGATGCCAAGTAACGGGAGATTTGTTTAAAATGTCACTATATTTCATGTTTGGAAAAATCTTGTTCACCAGGGTCCTTAAGCAACCCAATACTATAGTTTAAATATTAAATATTATTCACGCAATAAAATAATCTGGCATTTAATGTAATGAAACGCAAATTTGTGACCGGGCCCTGGTGACTCCCTGAAGCTATGTGCCGAGATGGTACCATCTACTAGGTCGCATCAGCCACGAGTTCTATAGGCCTGCCGAGGACGAGAGTCGGAACCCTACACCCTCACGGAGGTGTAGGGAGCAGTGACAACCTTTGTCTCACCAGGGAAAGCCCCAGAAAAATATATTCATGTCTAACATTCTGGTATTATTAGTTTATTCAAACTTTTAAATATATATACTGTACTCTAGACAGACATTTACATTATTCATGTAAAATTAGTATGAAAATGGACAACCTATGCACACACTAATACTGTAGTTTAAAAAAAAAAATTGTTTTGGTAACACCCTACATCACAAAGCTATCACACATTTCTTTAGGCTTACTAGAGAGGTTTCGTTGAATGTTGGGTAACTACATTATAGTAACATTTATCAATGTACAGTACAGAACTTTCAACGTACTGTATATAAAATATATTTCACGTTGACAGCATAATATAAATTTATCCTTACAGTCAACTTGTCACAATATAGCTATGCCCACAGCCAAGTTTGATTTTCATACTGCATATAAAAACGTACCTTAAAATTTATACGAGCGCGGACCTTATTTGCCAATGCCATATTAATTGCACGGTCAAACTGCAGAAGTACACGAAGAGCCAAGTTTGGAGATATTTGCTGGAACTGGAAAATATAAAAATTTAATTTAAAAAAAGATTTTATAGTTTATTTCAAAAAGGTCTTCTCTATGTACCCCTCCCTACCACCACAATATAATGAATATTTGGGTAAGTTTTTGTATTACTGGTGGACAGGCTGTGCGTGCCGATGGATTGACTCGGCCCTGCTCGTTTAAAATTTATAGCACTTTAAACGAAAATATATAACTTACATTTGAGCTGCCCAGTCCAATAACAAAAACAAGGTATTTTTTATTATACATTATTTAAAGAATACATTTGAAACTTTAAAAAAAAAAAAAATACTGCTAGCCATTGGCTCAGCACCAATGAATTCAAACAATAATGAAAAAAAAAAAGATAGTATTTTATACATGGTAAAGCTGGGCATGTACCTCTCCTTAATGATTATCAAATCTAGCAAGAACCAATTCTAGCATTACCTTTTAGTTTAATTTATTATACACCTCAAACTCGAATAAATTCCTTTATTTATTCAAATATACTCGAGTTCCACCATCTCTAGTTGCTTCAAAAGGGATAGGAAGCCAATGGTGTGTCAAACATCCACCCCCCCCACTTGTCCCAATTATTTTACACCGCCGGAGTTTGAAACTGCTGCAGTGCTTAAGCATATACAGCTTCGATGAGTAGGCGGTCTCATTGGTTTATAACCCTAGAGATAGATTAACATTTCCAGTTTTGTCCTACATTGTGGCTTATTTGCGTTACATCTGACCTTTTCAAGAAGTGGTCCTGATCAATATCCTCCAAAAAGAGAAAAAAAAATTAAAACCAAACCTTACCCAATCTAACCGAACCCAATTTAACCCATCCTAACGCATGAATATGAACGGATTTAACAATTAGAAAACATGATTCGTCGAGAAGCTTGTTCAGAATGTGGCCATAACCCCAAGCGAGGACCCCCCCAAGCGAGGACCCCCAGGCGAGGACCCCCAGGCGAGCCCCCAGCCGAAGTCCCCCAGGAGGTCCCCCCCCCAGGCCTGGCGTACCGGGAGCACCCCGGCCACACCAGCCTCATACACCACATTCACTATACCAGCAGTGCAAGCTGTTAATTACACCGCCAGACACATGCGGCGAAACAAAAGCTACCTACCCACCCCCTTGTTAATTAACATACATACATATATATATATATTCAAGGTGGCGGCGGGTGGCCCCCCAGACAACACACTGGTGAAGGTGCAGGACAAACCTGTATGAGTTCATCGAGGCTCTCCTGCAGGGTGTTCCCCAGCGTGGTGTTGCGGTAGAGCTGGTAAGTCATGACGGCGTTGTGGTGGAGTGGTGGTAGTCGTGGTCGTGGTGGTGGTGGTGGTAGTGGTGGAGTCTCGTCACTGTTGACACCCACAACCCCCCCAGCCCCATCAACCCCCCCCCTCCCCTGGGGTGGGGGAGACAAAAAACCCTCCTCCAACGTCTTATTCCTCTCCCACCTTCACTTCCCATGATCCAGGAATAGCTATAATGATTTGTATAAATCATTTATGAATAATGTTATAGTAATTAAGTCATTAATCAACGCCCACCATCTGTTTCTACCATTCCCCCCCCCCCCTCACCCCCCGGCTCATATATGAAACGCCCCGAACGGTATGTGTGTGTTAGTGGCTTTGCAAGAATGTATGAATACTGATATTATGTACTCTCACAACTCAATGTACCGTATAGTAAATAAATAAATAAATAAATAGATAAATAAATTACCTCCCCTCCCCTTAAGCATCACCAGGGGGAACCCCCCCTACCACCTATGGGTGATGCAGCCACAGATACCCTACATATAAAATTACATCCCCCCCCTTATATACAAAATTTAAATGAAAATTCTTTATTTTGTTAAACTAGTACACAGATTTAATAAGAATATTATTAATGTCCCTATAATCAATGCCAGTGACTATCTCTTAAGCAGCAGTTTCGAGTCTATCAATCCCCAACGGACTCCTCAGATGTTAATGATATACATGGCTGTAACTCTCTTATTTAAAATCAAATCATGTTTTCTATTCTCATTTATTTATTATTCACCCCATACCCATGCCATGGACGGTAGTGTAAAGGGTTACAGATATAATATATTTTTTTTCTTGCAATGTATTTATCATTTTATTAATTCTGATAGAATTTACCTGCTTAACATTATCTGTTAGATTAAGGACCTGCTCGAAACGCTGCGCGTACTAGTGGCTTTACAACATTGTAAATACTGTACTATGCTATGTACTCTCACAAACCCAATGTACCTTCTTGTATATAAATAAATAAATAAATAAATAAATAAATAAATAAATAAATTTCTTTATTATGCACCCCATACCCATCCCGTGAGCGGTGGTGTAAAGGATTACAGAGGCACATAGAGACACATAATATAGTTAATTTTTCGTCTCTGTGATTCAAACACGTTATGGCGATAAAAGTTTATTCGTAAATTGAATTATAAATTATATACAAATTTTATGATGAATTAATAAATTAAGGTGTATTTTAATATTGGGTAAATTAATCTTGTGCATTAACTTTGGTAAGTATGATAAGGGTAATTAACATTGGTGAAGTTTTACCCTGGGTAAAATATCTTGTGATAACACTAACGATGTTAGTTAACAATGCACTGTAACTTGTTGAATTAAAATGACTTGAGGTTTAGCGAGATTAACTTTGTATATTTAAGGTAAATGTAACAAGGCTAAATTTAATAATGCGTAACTTCCAGAGGGTAAGTCTAACAATGTGGAATTACATTGGTGAAAGTGAATTGGTGAAATTTACATTGGTGTAAATTAACAATGTAATATTGCCGGGCGGGGGTCCAGCGGAGCCCCCACCCCCAATCAACAGATAAGTAACATTTGTTGTTGTTTTAAATTTAGCTACTGGGAACCATGATGAGTTATGAGGAAAGGCTGCATGAAATGAACCTAACGTCGCTGGAAGATAGGAGAGTTCAGGGAGACATGATCACTACCAACAAAATTCTAAAAGGAATCGACAAGGTAACTAAAGATAAATTGTTTAACGCGGGGGTACTCGAACAAGGGGACAGGTGGAAACTGAGTACCCAAATGAGCCACAGGGACTTAAAAAGAACTTTTTCAGTGTCAGAGTAGTTAACAGATAGATTGCATTAGGCAGTGATGTGGTGGAGGCTGACTCCATACACAGTTGCAAATGTAGATATGATAGAGCCCAGTAGGTTCAGGAATCTCAGTACACCAGTTGATTGACAGTTGAGAGGCGGGACCAAAGAGCCAAAGCTCAACCCCCGCAAGAACAACTAGATGAGTACATCCTGCCTGACTTTCCTGTGTATTTTTTCTGCCTAAAAGTTAAGGCTGTCTTCAAGTTCAAGTATGTTTATTGAGACAAGAAATAAATACATCTCAAAGGGATAGAGTAGCTTAGGCTATTTCTACCCCCCTCTACTTCAAGTCCCTCAAGGGGCGCACAAATTCAGTGAGTACAAATAGACAAATAACATTACAAGAATCCCATTTAACATTGCTAAGGCTGTCTTAACCTACCAGAACACTAACTTCCCCAGTTGAAGGTGGGCTTTAGGATTGATGATAGATTTATGGGCTGAGGGGTATATCCTGGAGTGTGAGGAAGCATGGGTCCTCTAACTCGGCGTACTGGTGTTCCATGTCGTCAGTGGCGTTGTGCAATGGCAGACAGGGAGACGGAGACGAGGGCAGGGCTGGCAAGGGCTGTAGGTACTGGGTCTCCGGGCGACTCATCTTCCCACAGGATGAGTGCGGCTGAACTCGCTGACTCTGACTCTGGTGTAGGCCTTTCTGATGGAATAGCATAACTCATTAACTCGTACTTCACAATATCTTAATATCTTGTTTATACTGCAGTGTCTGTGGTAATGTCTGCGATCCTCACATGGGGATACTTACACTAATGGTTTCCACACTTTAAGGTCTTAATGGGAAACATTCTCATAACACCTGCATTCATGAGTCCCTGATCTATCTTAACGCCATAACTCCAACGGTTATGGGCGGTTGCGTTATAATAATAACCGCTACATACCTGTTAGCACTGGGGTTTAAATCTGTGTATATATTGAAGGTAACTTGAAAGCCCCCCAATAAGAGTTAGACAAGGTCCCGACCCCCAGTAATATACACAATTATTAAATACACTGTACCTAGGGATTATAATCACTCTACTCACTACTGGTGTAACAGAAGTCTAATTGTACCTTTACATTAATTTATTAATTAATGATTTTCCTCATAACAACAATTTGCTCCATCTCATCTACATAATTTATGTTAAATCCATTACCCCACACCGGCAGAAGTAGAGATATAGTGCATAGGCACAATAGAGATAGGCTCTACAGTCTCTCTAAATGAGACATAACATCTTAATTTAAGGACGCATCAGTTAGTTTTTTAAACTTTGTTCAATGTCAACAAATCTTTTTTGACTTTTTGTATATGAAAAGGGCTGCAATTGTTCCAAGTTTCAGTACTGCAGCCTAAAATAGAAAGGGAGATTTTTTTTTTTCAACGAATATTACACATTTTCAGCAAGTTACTACAACCACCCGTTTCAGATATAATCATTCTATGACACTTTTCTGACACATTAGCATATAATAAAGGATCTGTAGCCGCGGATTTTAAAAAATATGCTTAGTTTTACTAATACAAATAGTCAAAGTCCCCCCCCCCAAAAAAAAAAAAAAAAATATGCAAATATATCATGTTTATTGCTATTATAAAATCAATAAATGAACTTAGGTAAAAACGCTGGCATCAGATTTTAGAGACATAAACTTTACATATAAGGTGTAAGTTTCATGTAAATTGAATAAAAATGAAAGAGTAGCAACTCCGTTTTATGTTGAAAAATAAATCATTAAAAATTAAAGTCTGTGCTGCCATCTGTGGTGGCAGTAAATATGTTCTTGTTATTTTGTCAAGCAACAATAACAACCTAACATAATATAGTCAGTTCTCTCATAGTTATCATTGTCGGGATAGGAGGGCAAATCTGATATTAATTGAAAAATAATATACCCAGAGGGTGTGAAGTGGAATTTGGGTTCAAGTAAGGGGGTTCTCTTACACCCTCACCTCTATACGGGTAATTCGAGCACTTAAATTATTGGATTTGCGATGAAGTAAAATAGATCAAGATGGCATAATGAGACCTAAATATTTAATTAGATAAATGTCCAGCAAAAATGTCGGAGAATGATCGGAGAAGTTTATAATGAATTTACCTTGGCAGGTTGAAAGCGACGACAACAGTCCCTGGCCAGGATAGAGAGGAGCACCACCACCGCCGTCCCCAGCAGCGCCCCCAGCACCACCACCGTCACGCCCTCACCTGCAACTACACTCACACAACTGTTACTTCACGCGCAGGCTGGTATCACAGAGTCTAAAACTACAGTAGTTCCGCGAGACTACCCAGGTATGAGCAATGTGAGGCCGTAGATAGGTTTCACGGGACGTTCTTGGTACCATGGAGAGTTGTTAGGTCGGACCCAAGAGCCACGCAACGCTACAGTTAAACACAGTTTCAAGTGTAGATATGATAGAGCCCAGTAGGCTCAGGAACCTGTACACCTGTTGATTGACGGTTGAGAGGCGGGACCAAAGAGCCAGAACTCAACCCCCGCGTACAGGGGACCAAGGACCCATACACCAAAATCAGATTGACGTCAGTCTTCGCCCTGCACACTCACGATAACTAGTTATGTGGCCAAATATGTATAATTATATATATTATATTTTTATTAATAAATAGAGAAAAGGCCACAGATGTTTTGTACCGCATTCCTTCCCATTGACAATCAGACCACAACCACCCATAAAGTTCATTTATTTGGGAAATAGTACTCTATGTTTTCTTAATGTTGCCCTTAACCCTCCCAAGGTACAGTAGGTGAGGGGGGAGGGGCAAACGTTTTCATGCTACGAAATTCCGTATTAAACCAAAAAACTGTTTTTTTTTTTACTAAGCGTTCACTTTTATATCATTCCGACAGCTGTATATTTATGCAAGTATTGAAATTAACATATACAATTATATAAGTTAAAAAATAATATCTTAGTTTATAAAGTTACAAATGGGGAAAAAAAGAGCTAAATTACTCTGCCTCAAAAAATCATTACCCGATTATTGTAATTATAGGAATATAATTGTTATCGTGAAAGTGAAGTTTCCAACTCAAAATAATTTGAAAGTGAGGAATTATAAAGTTATTTACGGCTAATTTTTACATTCAAACAAATTGATCTATATAAAAGAGAATATCTGTTTGTCTGTCCAAGGTTGGTGGCCAGACAATTGGGGCTAGCCTCACCAAACTTTGCAAGATGACTGGTGGGTGTAATAGGACGGTCATAAGGGGGTTCTGTGTCAATCTCCATGCCCTTCTTGGATGGGTCAGTTCCCATGCCTCCTACCATGAAGTCGGTGGAGATGAAATATTCGGGGAAGTCCATCGAGTATTATCATTTGTCCATTATTCCCTATCTCATAGACCTGATGAAGTCGGTAAAGGGAAGACGGGCAAAAACGCGTGTTCTGAGGACAGGTTTTCATTATGGGAGCTTCCAACACTTAAATGGTGCAACCTTTTGGGTCTACCTGGGCACAACGGGGTACCCCATCTATGGTGTATAGTATACGTATAGTATACGTGTAAACATTCATTTACACTGTATTTAACATCATAATTCGGACCATCATTTCGTGAACTTAGAAAGATAAACTTAAATACAAAAATTATCCTTACCTTATCAGAGTGGTCTTCGTTTTGACCAACTGTGTTTTGGTCACATGGTGGGGCTCCTGTCTTGGTTTACTGTGACTGCAACATGACTCTAGATATCCCAGTGTTTCAGTTGCAACTAACTCTCATTCACTCTTTTTTTTGTTGTTGTTGCAACCAGCTTAGCCAAATGAAATTTGGGGTTCAGTTCCTGAGCCCGTATGTACCTTGACCACTGCCGCCCACGGAATGGAGATGGGGTGCAGAATAAAAGAACAACCCTCAAGACACAACTATTCAAGCCGTTCTCACGATTAGATAAGTGTCAAAATTAAATTTTTTTGCCAAAGTATAACCAATTTTTTTTTGTTTTTTGAGATATATACAAGAGTTGTTGCATTCTTGTACAGCCACTAGTACGCGTAGCGTTTCGAGCAGGTCCCTGGAATACGATCCCCTGCCGCAAAGAATTGTTTTTTCATCCAAGTACACATTTTACTGTTGCGTTAAACAGAGGGTACAGTTAAGGAATTGCGCCCAGTAAATCCTCCCCGGCCAGGATACGAACCCATGACATAGCGCTCGCGGAACTCCAGGCGAGTGTCTTACTACTACACCACGGAGACTATCGGAACCTTGTCCATCACCTAGTTCTTGGAGGCACTAACCTTGAAGGGGTGGGTGATGGTGGTCATGGCGCAGGGCGGCGTTGGTGTTGGGTGAGTGGAGGAGGAAGGTGTCCCCAGGGCGGCCTGTCACCACCAGGTACTGAGGGAGGGCCGCCAGCCTCGCCTGGTACACCTTGTGCTTCCCACTCATGACCTGCACCAACACACACCTTCTTACACTTATTCTTATAAGTAAACTATTAACAACAATATAAAATATTAATTATTAATGATATACTAATTATATTAGCAAGAAAATCACTACTAATAAAAGATTTCCTCTACTATTTCTAGAGGTGAAAATATAAAAAATAATGACAATACTTTGAATAATAATAATTAATATAATATAAATAATAATGTGACCCCCCCCCTCATACGGCACACCTATATTATAAGACCTTTAATATGGCTCGTCTCTTATATGACACCCTTTATATGTCACCTCTCATATGACACATGACATTTCCTGTAAGACACTTTTCTTATATGGCATGTCTTTTATATGGATGATCAAAATACTCTAGAGTCAATATGGGTTTGTTGGGACCAGAACAATAACAAACAACATTTGTTTCAATAACAAACTTTTTAACAATATAAAGTTACATATAGTTCAGCTGTATTGGTACTATAATTTTGTTGGAAAGATGATGAATAATTTGTTTGGTAAAACTGGCAAAAAATCTTAAACCATCCAAGGATTTAAAGCCATCGGTAAAAATGTCAAGAGACGGGTGTTTAAGCACCTAATTGATTGATTGTTGAGCACCTAAGATGTTAGCTTACCGTGAGTGTGGTGGTGGGGCCCGTGACCGCCAGCACCAGCAGCAACCCGTGCCACTTCAAGGGTGGGAGAGGGTTCATGGTATCCACTGTTGAAAGAGCTCCATTCCTCCACCCTAGCACGAACTTGGCGTCGGCCGCGTTGAAGGTGGGAGTAAAGTTGGTTTTGGAGAAGAGTTTGAGATTCTGGCGGGACTCGCCGTCACCAGGGCCGACGACCAACAAGAGAGAGACCCTCTTGGTGTCAGTCACCTTCCAAGTGGGCGTCCCGGCGGGGCACTGACGCATTAATAATCCGTCCTTCACTTTCATGCTCCCCACCTGGCAGTCGATGGTGATACCGGGTGGGAGCCAAGCCTGTCCTTGTCCGTCAGTCAGGGTGTACTCTCCCACCACTCCCAGGCTGAACTGCTCCCACCCACCAACCCTGCCCGCCGCCTCATGCTTAGTGTCTACGACAACACTTTGATTGCGGCGTTGATATTTCACCAGTCGTACACTGCTGCTCGTCACTGACAAGAAATCATAATCAGCATTGCTGTCGCACTTCATCAGAGCAGTGAAGAGGACACTAGACTGGTTAATGGAAGACAGTGTGGAGGAGCCAGGTACTGCAGAGGAACCAATTACTGTGGAGGAGTTAAACGTTCCAGATGAGCCAGGCTGATTATTGGATTTAGGTGGCACATAGGCCATGAAATCGAGAGAGTCATATAGGAGGTCGACGTTCATCTCCTCGTGCACCATGCATCCTGCGGGAAGAACACCAAGCTCGATTACTAACAAGTGTTCGTAAACGTATCCAGCAACAATTTAATCCTTCAACAAGACACAAACTAGGAATTCTGGAAACAAATAGTAACTATAATATTATAATAAATATAGGATCTAGGACTGAACATAACAACGAACCTATCCCCCGAGGAACACACTAAACAACAGCAACACATGCTGAGCAGGCGGGCATCAGGACAGCCTCTGGGAACCTAGATATAAAATACTCAAGAGACATCGATGAACAACAAACGAGAAGCATGTTTTCTAGCATGGATGCTAGAAAAACATAAAGTGGAACAAACTAGTAGGGAAAATAGTTGTCTACCTTTAGTTTCTTCATCCATAGTTTGAAAACGGGTAGGAATTCATTTATTTAGACGATCAACAGGCGGAACTGCAAGCAGATTCGGTAATTATAAGGTGTGAAGGATAGATGAAATTGTTAATGTAATAATCTCCGTTGAGCTCTGATAAAGACCTTTTATGCCCTCTGTAATCCTTTTTTTTGCGCTAGCACTCACAGGATGTGTATGGGATGCACATTAAACTGGCCAATACAAACATAATGTCCTCTAACAACTCACCAGGTGTTATGCTTCAAGGTCTTCCAAGTTGTCCGGTGAGTTTTTGATAATGTCGTGATTTTACTTAATGTTTTTGCACACCTGAACAAAAGTGTACCTATATGCTAGTTATGGGTCACGACCTCGTCCAATCTGTCCAGATAAAAGGTCATGACCTGTTCAGTGTTGTACCCATGTGGTAGGTCATGACCTCGTCAAGTGTAGCAGCTCACCGTAATCGAGAGGAGCGACGACGACTCCCCACAGCAGCAGCAACAGCAGGCAGCACCAACAGGCCATCGTGTGTTGTTATAGATTCAGCCACTCGGAACAAAAGTTCCAAGTAGCACAGGTTATGGTGAGCCCGCGGTGGACTTACCAGGCCATCATGCTTCCGTCGTACACTACCGCTGGTAACACTCGTACTGTAGCTACACCTTGTTTATCTCGCAAGTGTTGTCTTGAAAACGATGTTCTATTTCCTCTCCACCAGCGACGTCACACACACACACAACAGCCTCACACGCCACCCAACACTTCCTGTTTATACCTGGGTCTCTATATCCGGGTAAATGAACCGACGGTAGTGGGTCCCATACCCATCCCGCGAGCAATAATGGATCCCATACCCATCCTATGGGCGGTGGTGGAAAAGGTTACAGAGGCATGTAATGGGCTCAGGAACTTAACCCTATAAATTCATTTTGCTGGGCAAGTTATCATCTTGATAAGCTAGTTACACAGTTTAATGCATGCATATCAGTTGTGTTTTATAACACAAGTGGTTCAAGAACTGAACCACAAGTCTCCATGCCTGATCAATTTATATATGTGAGTCAGTTATATATTTACTAATTATGTACACCACATCCAATCAGTGGGCGGCTGTGGAAAGTTTACAATCATGGGGATATTTTGCTAAGATATCTGGCAGTTCATAATTTTGAATGAAGTACTTCCGCATTTCTTGAACATTTGTAATAGAATTATCTTTAAATTCTGGAATTGTTCATATTCAGTTACATAGTGACGGAAGGTATATTAATAGTTCTGCTGACAGAGTTTGGCCAGATCTAATTCAGAAAGTAGTTTAAACTGCAATAGAGGTACTTGTAGCCTAGCCCAAACCTAACAGTAGTATCGTCTAGAAGTCTGCTGACGTTATTGGATGTCCCATAGATATAATAATATAATAAGTGTGTATTTCACTTTGTCTCAGGTCTGCTCATTTTTATTTTTGTAGTTCTCGGTATATTACTGCCCTCAGGCTGCTCAAAGGCAGTCCAAGAGGACAATCAACTCCATCTTAGCAACTCGTCCTCTTGGATAGTACATCGCGATTTTGACGTATAAATCCCCTAAGGCCAAAAACCGATGTACAAAATATCATAGCGGCTCGAACATTGACGTGATGTTCCGTTTTGTATTATTGGGTCCTCGATTAGGTTAGGTTCGGGCAAGTTAGTACATCGGTTTAGTGACGTTGGGAACGCTCGAGATGACTCGCTGCTTGAGATGAGAACGTGTTTGGCCAACTCATCATTCGGAGGCCAATATGGGATGGGATCCATAGGAGACAGATTCTGGCTCCATCACTGATTATTTTTATTTTATCTTTCTTTTTTTGAGATATATACAAGATATCTGTTCCTTACGACAGACACAAACACGTCACAGTTGTTTTGAGGAGTTGAATGCAATCAAGGATGACAAGAATCACTTATAATCTTCTAAAGTTAATTATAAATGATTATATTAATTTTGCGAATAATGATAATATATTATTATTGTTATATTGGTTATACTTTAACAAAACGATGAGAGTCTTGTGGTTATCGTAAATACTTCATATCTTTATTATTATTTTATTGGTTTTTATTTAGATATAATTTTAATAACAATGCAAAATTATTGTTATTATTATTGGTTTTAATAAAGTGTCAATGTTTCCTTGAGCGCTTTCCTCTTGGTTCCTCGAGCAGAGAAATAACTTGTTTTTCAAGACTCGTTATCCATTGCCGGAAGTACATATCCGCTTGTGTTGATAAATATAGTTATTGTATAGCCACAAGGCGACCGTTAAAAATTGTGTTTTATCTCAGCATCACAGCCACCGTCACGCTGTTTCTAATATATATATCAGAGACCTTACTGAGGAAATTGGCAACATTATATCAATGTTTGGAAACGAGGTATAACCCAATGGGATGAGTAAGGGCAGAGCAACTGTGTGATACATTGCCAACGGGTTTGGACACACTCTTGAAGTGGTCTGAAAAAAATGGCTGCTAGAGTTTAACCCAGACATATGCAAAGTTATGAGGATCTGAATAGGAGTGAAAGACCAATACGGCAGTAAAGCATGAAGGGGTGACAGATTCTTATATCAGTTAAATAAAGACCTGGGAATAGACATAATGCCAGATTAGCAGAATATCGACTGCAGCATATGATATACTGGCCAACGTTCGTGTATCCTTCAGAAACTTGGACAAAGGGGGCTTTCCGGGTCCTATATACAGCACAGGTGAGATCCACGCTTGGATGTCCCCCGGCATGGAACCCTCGCCTGAAATAGGACAAACTAGAAAGGACCCAAAGTTATGAAAGGAGGCTTGAGCTATGAGAATAGACTAAGGGAACACCTTACCTCACTGGATGAGAGGACATATAGGGTAAACATGATAACGACTTACAGGATTTTGAGGGAATTGACAAAGTAAACAAAAAACACAAAAATAGACACAAATGAGTCAGAGAGATAGATGTTAAAAAATATCATTGTTAGAGTCGTTAAAGCTAACTATATACAAGATTTAAAATGTAAACATGATAAGAATGTGGAAACTGAGTCATTCTATTAATCAAAGATCGTTTAGCAGGCGAGGCTAGTAGCCTAGTTGGAGCCTACGAGCACATCAAGAGTGAATAATAGTGAAGGAGTAACATTATCTCCCAAGATAACTGTCTACCTGTGAGTCAAACCATTTCCTGGACAAGCAACAGGGCAAACATTCATTGCCAGCTGATAAGACAGAATTAAGCAGATAACCTTATCTTGATACTCATTTATATCGGACCAATATACACGCAGTAGTTCGGGCACCAACTAACCAATCTGTGTGATGCATTCTAGCCACTCCATTACCCGGTATTGTGTTCCCTAGTTCCTTCTTCGCCTGGTGTTGTTTCATAGTTCTTCCTTCACCTGGAGACTTGTAGGACTCGCCCGACGCTGGGAACTACAATGTGGGTGCTGGGTGCGGTGGTCCTGGCGACAATCCAGGTGCCCGCCGCCCCGCTCATTATATACCGAGGTAGGTGTGAGTTTCCACTAAGTGTACACCCATAACTCTCTAGTTCCGGTCTGCGTACACCCGTATACTCGTGCCTGAACTTTTGAAGCCTGCAGACTGACAATAGTCTTGGTTTTATGTATCTCTGGGAGTCTGCACCAACTGCTGATGTTATTTTTTTTGTAAGGTTAGATCTTTTGTTATGTACCTCATACCCTTCCTGTGGGTGGCGAATTGGAAAATATGCAAATGTCCCCTCATCTTAAAAAAGGCAGCAAATGCTCACCAGAAAACTACTGTCCAATCAGCCTAGCCTCACATATCTACAAGCTCTCAGAGAGCAGCCTAATGGAGGGAATCATTTATCATTTCACATTGAACAGTCTAGTAAAATCAACGCAACATGGTTTTGTTAAAAATAAATCCTGCCTTACTAACCTGCTCAGATTTTTGGAAACGGTAACCAGCTATTCAGACAAAGGACTTTATAAATTCCAGTAGACGTAGTTTACATGGACTTCTCCAAAGCTTTTGACACGAAGGAATGTCGCGGAAATTACAAACACACATAATAAATGGTATAATATTAGAATGGATAAAACAAAGAAATGTGGGAGTGTGTTGAGACTGTTTTGTGTGTGGGAGTGTGTTGAGACTAATTGAAGCCTTTAATAAATTAGTTCAGTTAGTTTATTACCCACTGACCTTACCAATTCCCGTGAGAGATAGTTACTGAAGCTCATAAGGGCGCAGGAGCTAAATATTGGTAAAGTTTTTTTCAGAAGTACATTCAGTACTATTTAATTTGTTGATATTTTATTAAGATATATTCACCTGCGAAATGCTTGTTTCATTCATGGTATTTTATTTTTTTCTGACAAGGAACGCTGTAGTGATCTTAATTATCTTGCATGTCCTGATCTAAGCAACTCAATCCCCTGTGTCTCTTTGTTGAGTGGTCGATGGTAAATGTGTTGTTTTATATGTATTTTCCATTTTTCTAAGTGGTCTTAAGAAGGTGTGTGACCTTAACCTTTCTTCATAGGGTATGATATTTGTGTACTTTTCTTCATTAGGTATGCGGCTTTTCTAATCCTTTCTTCATAACTGTTTTTTTTTTAGGATTACAGTATATTATATATTTTAAAAATAAAGGTTCCTGGTAGATGTTTTATATATCCATACTATGAGTATCGATAACGTGACTGAAAAGATGATATCCAACCCACAGCAGAAAATGAAGAAACACGACGTTTTGTTCCGCCATCAAGAGTAGTTATCATTACACGACTCAATAATGTTTAATATATGTTTGTCTCTATCTGGCTGCTTTGCTTGCCTGAGTTACAAATGGGGAACAACAATGAGACATTCAGTCTGAATGTCACTGACTTGGTTTACCTACAGAGTGTCTGCCTCAAGCAAAATGGGAGGGCCGTTGGGAGGGGTCCCACATGGACCTGACAGCGTGGCTAGCAGAGGACGCAGAATTGACTGAGCTAGAAGACCCTCTTCTAACCTTCACCATGGAACCAGTTGGCTCATCACTCCCATACGACTACGATGTCCTCTACCTCACCCGTAACCAGGTGGAAGTGATGCGAGTCAGAAACAGCCGCAGGACCAGGAATGAGCTGATGGTGTCACCGGGTCTGCCAAGTGGGTGGACAGCCTTCAACCTGTCCTCGTCATCATCACACACACAGTTATGGCACAACCAAGAGACACAACTTGTATCACTGCCCGCTGATATGACCATTGATAGACTCACCATAGAAGGCAGTAATATCACTGTCAACTGCCATCATGGTAAGTACTGAACATTATAATTGTATGCCTGAAACGCTTTGCGCATTAGTGGCCTTATTAAATATACATACTATGTAACAATTATTACAGCACTGTATATTACACTTTTTTAAATTTTTAAATATATATTATTATTGTTATGCCAAATAAACCCCCCCTAAAAAAAAGGCAGGGGGGAGCTACAACAAAATATATATATATGGTGTACTTACATTAGTCGTTTCCCTTGAATGTTTTTTTTGTTCTTTTTCTGTAAGACTAAAGGTCCCCACTTGGGAAGGAAATTGAAAATTTAACTCTCCAGAGTCAATGTTGTAATTGTATTCAGCCTGACACTAAATAATGCATTTTGTTGACGATCTCAATCTTTGGAAATAGAGGGGAAAAATGGATACAAATTAGCTGAAACTAACTATATATATATATATATATATATATATATATATATATATATATATATATATATATATATATATATATATATATATATATATATATATATATATATATATATATATATATATATATATATATATAAGGATACGGAAGAGGAAGGGACGGAAAAATAGGCAGACATGATAAGTGTGTGAGGAAATTGAAAATGACAGAACAACATAAGAGATGCGGCGGGAAACAAGATAAGGTGTCAACATTTTGTGAAGGAGTGAATGTTTAACATTATTATATAATAAATCACGAGAAGCATTGAACATCTGCCTGTGAACGTGAGAAATGACATATTAATGATTTAATTTATTCCATCTATTGTTTATTACAAAAATAATAGGAATTTCCCCACTCTTTACAAAGCATGACTTGAAAGAGGAGTGACAATATACGATGCCAATTGTATGTTTTACAGGTGAGTTAGGCTGGGAGGTGCGTGGCACTAAGGAAGTGGTAGTGCCACTGCCTGGCCACCTCCACCGTCACCACCTCAGCACCTACTCCAACACTGCCTCACGACCCAGAGTGACCCTAGCCGACACAACACTCCAGTTGGGCTGGGATGGTGCCAACCTGGTCGACGTAACTCACTATGACCAAAAGTATCAGAGCCCTCTGCCGGCAGCCATTGAACATCACCTCTACATTGTCTGCACATCTTTTTCTGCTGATATCCTCTGTGATATATTGGTAAATGCTCTTTGGGCATCATAGAGACTCTTGTAATATACTGAGCCTTTGGTAAATGCTCTTTGGACATCATAGAGACTCTTGTAATATACTGAGCCTTTTGTAAATGCTCTTTGGACATCATAGAGACTCTTGTAATATACTGAGCCTTTGGTAAATGCTCTTTGGACATCATAGAGACTCTTGTAATATACTGAGCCTTTGGTAAATGCTCTTTGGACATCATAGAGACTCTTGTAATATACTGAGCCTTTGGTAAATGCTCTTTGGACATCATAGAGACTTGTAATATACTGAGCCTTTCACAACACTACTTTAGTTCAGCTGATTGAGACGTTTATATAAATGGCTGTAAACTTCATTACATAGCTTTGTAACGTGCGAATTAAGTGAATTACTATGACTTTCAGGCTGGGGAGAAAATCCTCAAGACTGTGAACTTGCTGAAGCCGCCAGCCTGGCTGACTATCCTGGGGAAGCAGGAGGACCATTTCTTCACATTTTACCACCGAGAGGCTGCGAATATTACTCGTGACGTGAAGTCTCTATCTAATCCAGGTGGGCAACTGCTTTTACTCTCCTTATTGAGGGCGTGTGTAGTCAAGCTATAATAATAATAATAATAATAATAATAATAATAATATTAATAATATAATAATAAATTATTATTATAATAATAAATTATTATTATTATTTTCTGGTGATGAGATTAAGTACACTAGAGTTCATACAGTTGAGGAAGATGCCGACTTGTGGACGATCTGGCTGGTAGAGGCTACTGTAAAAATCTCCCGCTAATATAAGTTTATTTTTTATTAACATTTCCGATTAGTTTTACATTTCTAAGGTTTGAGTTCAAATCGGTTGACTCTGTGTAAAGCTCCAACTATTACTTGTGTCACACTTGACAGTGTCGTCCAGTGTGACACTTGACAGTGTCGTCCAGTGTTACACTTGACAGTGTCATGCAGTGTTACACTTGACAGTGTCGTCCAGTGTGACACTTGACAGTGTCGTCCAGTGTGACACTTGACAGTGTCGTCCAGTGTTACACTTGACAGTGTCATGCAGTGTTACACTTGACAGTGTCGTCCAGTGCTTCACTTGACAGATTCGTCTAATTTTTTCACCGTACTTGACACTAGCAGACCTGATAAATAATAATATGTTTAAAACAATATTTGTATTGAAATACATTAACTTATAACGCAAAAGAAAGGCTTCATGAACATCAAAGATAACCCACATTCTAACACTGGTCGACCCATGTCGGTGAGGGAGCCATTATCTGAACGCCGTCAAGGTATTACCGGTCCAGCCAAGGACCCACGTAACTTGTTGCAAATACTGCAGTGATGGTGTTCTTCAGCAAGGTTGTTGTGGTGTTTCCTCAGGAGGTGAAGACACCCGTGGCTCCGTGATGGCCCTCGTAGCAGCAGTTGTGGTGCTGGCCCTGGTGGCACTGGCCCTCCTGGCTGTCATCGCGTATTCTTACTACACTCAGGTCACTACACTTCCAAACTTCCCTCAAGCTTTGTATAATGAGTCTTTTGTTTTATCTTTTATGTTGATTTGAATATTAACACAGCACAGTGTGGTTATTTAATTATTTGGTATAATATCTTGTATTTTCTGTTCATTCTTATATGATCTACATGTTCAGATCTATATGCTTTGTGTAACTCTTACTTACTTTCATTTAATAATAATAATAATAATAATAATAATGGGCAAAGAAATCCTATTAACATAATGTATCAATGAGATAATTAGTTATAGCCATGGTTTCAGGTTTATCATTTTATATATATATATATATATATATATATATATATAAAATGTTTATATATATATATATATATATATATATATATATATATATATATATATATATATATATATATATATTTACATAAAATTCACAAAATACATAAGTGTTTTTATTCAAAATAATACATATGTGAAGTTTGTGTGTGTGTGTGTGTGTGTGTGATCTTCTGCCTGAGCCAAGATACACTCATATTTACGTGTTTTCTTGTAATAATTGGTAGCTGGTTTGTTTCACTTAACAGAAGAAAGCTGGCCAAAGCACCTCCGAGGAGACCCCAGCTGAGATTAAGGAGATGGTCGCGTTACTGACTTCTAATGATTCGATGATAGACGTATGTTAATATTTTTTTTTGTAAGAAATAACTGTTGTGGTTACTGAATATTTCCAGCTATGTTTATTGTATGTTTCCTGCTATGTTTACTGCATGTGTCCTGCTATGTTTACTGCATGTGTCCTGATATGTTTACTGCATGTGTCCTGATATGTTTACTGCATGTGTCCTGCTATGTTTACTGCATGTGTCCTGCTATGTATACTGCATGTGTCCTGATATGTTTACTGCATGTGTCCTGATATGTTTACTGCATGTGTCCTGCTATGTTTACTGCATGTGTCCTGCTATGTTTACTGCATGTGTCCTGATATGTTTACTGCATGTGTCCTGCTATGTTTACTGCATGTGTCCTGATATGTTTACTGCATGTGTCCTGATATGTTCACTGAATGTTTCCTGCTATCTTGACTGCATGCTTCCCGCTATCTTGACTGCATGCTTCCCGCTATCTTGACTGCATGCTTCCCGCTATCTTGACTGCATGTTTACTGTATTTTTCCAGCTGTTTACTGCATGCTTTCCGCTATGTTTAGTCTACTCACCTAGTTGTGCTTGCGGGAGTTGAGCTCTGGCTCTTTGGGACCATCTCTCAACTGTCAATCAATCCACTGTTTTTTTTCTTCACGCCCACACACACACCCCCCAGGAAGCAGCCGTAGCAGCTGTCTAACTCCCGGGGTACCTACTTACTGCTAGGTGAACAGGGGCATCAGGATGAAAGAAACTCTACCCATTTGTTTCCGCCTCCACCGGGTAACGAACCCGGACCTTTTGGACTATGAATCCCGAGCGCTGTCCACTCAGCCGTGTTGCCCCTCTGTTTCCTACTGTGTGTACTGTATGTTTCATGTTATATTTACTATATGTTTCGTGCTATGTTTACCGTATGTTTATATCTCTAGTGGCCTCGACGGGGACAGGAAGCCGGCTACTTGTCAGATGTCCCCATTGTTCTTAATGATTCTTTTCAACTGTATTTTGAACTTGTCTTGGCATTTGCAGCTTCGACGGGTAGCCGGTTCCATGGGTTTTATAACCCTATGGGTGAAAAGACATCTTGTTTCTATCCTTTATTGTGACTTGTAGCTACTGCCCCCTCCTCCCCCCCCCCCTCTGTGTGACCTTTGTGTAACGTGTGACCTTTTAAGCAAGTGGTCTGGATCAGTCTCCTCCAAATTATTCAGTAGGAGGAGGAGCCATTTCTGATATAATTTGACTTGTGGGTTCATGCAAGTTATTGTTACAATTGGGGCTCGTGTTCTCTCATATTTGGAAAGTTTGACGGGATCTAGGTGCACCCCGTCCCTCGCTTACATAAAAACTTCTTGCCAATGGACAAGTACCAATTGTTAAATAATGTTATTGCAGCCTTAAAAACAATGGCTTTAAATTCAACAATATATCCTAATTGTTTTCGACAGCCATTGACCACCAACACTGAATCTTGGCAGAACTCCACATTTTATAATTAATAATATTTTCAGGGCATTTGTTAAAAATAATCTGAGTTTTTTATATTAGTTCCTTGACTCCGTGAGCCCCTATTGTACTTAATTATTCGTTAATACTGAATATAATTCATAATTGAGATGTTGTTTGTGGACTCAGTTATTTCTAATACGTTGTGTCTCCTCTCAGATAAAGAGTGAAGAAATAATAAGGGTTGCCATTATCGAAGGAGACAAAGGCCGGGTAAAGGCCCTATTGGATAAAACGAACAAAGCCGCAGCCTATGTAGAGGCGCACATCCAGGCCAAGAAGGACATCATTCAGATTATCTCACAACGTACACAAGAAGAAGTTGAAACTCCTAAAAACCTGCTTGTCATATCGGTGTTAGGCGTAAGTCTTCCTATTATTACTTGTCACTTGTGTAGATGCATGGCCACACACACGTGTGCAATTAATCTAAGAGAAATTTTGTTTAGATACTCCCTTATCCAATGGCGCACCTTACCTTTTACTCCTGCCTGTTGCTCCAACTTTCGTAACAGCCTTTTATGGGTTACTGTGTCAAAAGCTTTAACATTTCATTTAGATAACAAATAATATAAATGTTAGTGAGGCATACACGGTACTAACCTGTGGTAGACTATAATGAAGAACAAAACTGTTCAATACATACTTTATCCAAAAGAAAAATACAGAAGTACTTAATTTTGTCATCATAGAACCCCGCCTTGTGCTACTCAATACTGTGCTATCTAAAAATATAACTGATATTATAAGTTATGCTAATAATAATAACACGAAAATCAGTAGGAGCCATAGGGAGGATTCGAACCTGTACACTGGGTACTCTCAAGCACACGCCTTAAACCATTGAACCACGATATGCTAAAAGTATTGTAACCTGTGATTCTACTGAATCCTCTAGGTTTCCTGAGGCTTCCACTAACACGAAATTAGCGTTTCACACATTACCGGCATCCACTCTGGTGTGGTACAGGACTCCTGTACCACACCAGTGTGTAGGCGGGAAATGTGTCAAACATTGAGTAGAAATACAATTACATCAATTGTAACTCAACTATGAATTACACAACATAAAGTAGAGTAGGAAGGCAACAATGACACCAGCTCAACTCAACTTAACTTGAACTAAACTTTTTTGTTAACATTTAGTAAGTGAGAATATTATTATTTTCAGGAACTCCAACAGCGGATAAAAGTGGTCTTCGAGGCAGCGAGATCTGGCCTTTATAAAGGCACAGGTGGTGTTAAGATTCTGTTACAGACGTATGGCCTCCCAGGAACCGTAAGAGATGAATATGGCTTGTCTATCATACATCACATGGTTACTCACATCCTCACCGATGGAAAAACACCCGTCTGGAGTGCTCCAGATATTGAAGATTTTCTTAAGACTCAGCAACACTGCATCAATGCTGTGGACTACCAAGGTTTTTATGACGTCATCGTTGTACCTAATATACAAATACAAATATTAGCTATGTGTTGTACGCGAGTTGTCTCTTTATCATTGTGTAACCTGAGAAATCTTTTGGGATTCAGTTTTATTATTATTATTATTTTCTACCACAGACGTGGGCACACATTTACAGTATAATTTACACATTTACAGATTCAGTATAAGCCTCAGGACCCCAAGGGGAATTCAGTTGAATTCCAGGTTGCATTGTTTTTACCATATCGTAGTGTAGGACGTGTGCTTGGGAGTAGCAAATGTGTAGGTTTGAATCCTCCTCATGACTCCTACTGATTTTCTCAATATCATATCTAAAACAGAAAATTTGATCAAAGTACAGTATGTGTATTCAAAGTTTATGCTGATGACGTGAGTCTTCGCCAGGACAAACGGTGCTACACACACTGGCGTGTCACCCACGGGACACCACCGACATATCATGGGGCAATGAGACGCAGACAGTAGACGAAATGTGGTGTAATATGGCTCAGATATTTATTGACCATGGCTGCAACCCTACACTCACGGATCACTGTGGACTACATCCATATCAAAAGGCAATGATTAAAAATAATGCAATGCTGTCAAACTTCTTGCAAGAGGTATACTATTCTTATTTTTCTCTGACTTTATGAGGTGCATTACATATTAAACGTATAGTTCTTCTCTGTGAGGAATATTTAATTGAAACATTAATTGTTATTATTTGGACTTATTTATGTGATTATATACTGACTCTATACTGTTTATAATTTCTATATAATTTCTTTGATTTCTATTATATTTGACTTATATTTGATTTCTATTTGACTAAATATGTTATTTTATACTGACTAACGGTCAGTATTGTTTAAGAATTTAAGAGAAGATTCAGAAATCAAGTGATTTATTGCAGAATAATAATATAGTTGGAACTATTAACACTTCAGGTTTTATATAAATTAAGTTTTGTATCTCTGAAAGGTTACTTGATACAGTTTTAAGTAAGAGAATCGTATCTCATCGAAGGAATTAGTTGTGGATAGCTACAGAGACTCGGGTAAGCTTCCCTGAGATCATAAAGTCATAAATACTCATACTCCGCCCAAGTAAAACAGAAACAAACAACACTTAGTGGGCCAGCCAGAGGCTTAGGGCCCGCGCAGGAATATCCCCGCAAAAAAAAATATATTGATACGTATGCTAGGCTTTCATTTACAAGGGAGGGGCCAATTGATGAGAAAATTATGAGAAACTGATAAGAAACTATTGAATTTAGCAGGAGTGTCAGTGAGTGCGAGCATTCCACTGTCAGTAGGTAGGAATATTGTTTGTTTTTGATTGAGTTCTTCCTTGATCCCAATATCTGGCAGACAGTGCTCCACGTGTTTTTCATAGCACTCTCTATGTAACTGACATTGTGTACCCGTGAATATTCCACTGTATCATCTTTCAAATGTATTTAGTAACAGCTATTATTATTATTTATTGAAAAGGTATGATTATTTCTTTGGTTTCTATAATTGTTAATGTTTTGTCTGTGTTTCAAGATGACTTTGTCAAGATGACGGTTTTATGAACGTTTATATGTCAATTGGATTTAGCTGTAGTACAAAAATTGTAACCAACTAGCATTGTTAATTACTCAATGTAACGGATTCACTTTCTTTCCCCATTATTTGCTATTTGCAAAGGAAGCTATTTGTTTCCTTTGCTTTCACTTAGCTATTAAATTTTAAGGTATTTTTTATAAGTGCACAGAAAGTGATAAATTAGTTTGTTTGCTTCCAGTTACGCTGCAGATTGAGTTTTTATTGAGATCAATCTTTACCACCGTCTGTCCCTAAAACTAATCGTCCTGCGTTTTCATAATTTTGAATCACTCACGAACATTGGAGTATGTACATCAACTTCCTCATCTAGATCCTAGAACTAACCTCGTGCTATATTTATGACCACTCTCCGCCCTGAAATCTCTCATCTCACAACAGTCAACAATTGGACTGGTCAACAATCTCATCTCACCTTAATCTTATATTTCCTATCATTTAGTTACTGTATCGTACTCTCTAAACCAATTCAACATCCTCGTGTTTACCCCCTGCTTGATCCTTAAATATACAGCAGTATTCAGCATAGTCGGTTATAGTCAAAACGTGCTGAGTTCAAGTCCTGTAGCAGGATAGAGAAGTTTTGGCTACGTTTCCTTTCACCTGATGCATCTGATCACCAACCGATAAATACGTACCCCGAAGCTAGGCAATTTTGCTTACGGGCTCACCATAGCCCGTGCTACATGGACACCGTTCTGAGTAGCTAAATCTAAAACAACAACAACAAACAACAGCTAGGCAATTTATCATTAGGCAACCACTGACGTTGGGAAGGTGAGACGAGTGCAGTTTACAGGCTTTTGGCATCTGTTGGTAGGGAACCCGAAAGATTACGTCCGGTTCTGGGATATCTGGTAATCATGATGTTAGGCCTATCTTGGTAGGCCTCAATGATGACGTCCAGGGGAGGACATCTACAGCCTTTTCCCTTAGGCTGGATTAGGAATATCTTGACTTTACAACCCGAGTCTCGAGTGCTCTCCCAGGGGAGGTAACTCATCCCTACGGGGATTAACTTGGGAACGAACAGTCTTCTGCTCTGCTGCTTTGTGCCCACGTTCAATTGTTAGCCATCACATAGATTCTGCTCATTACATCAGCATGTACTCGTTGTATTCGTTATATTCATTACAACACCCTGTTCTCATTGCACCCTGTATCCTGAGATATGTTGCCCTTGGAATATGTTTCTTTTTGGAATATCGTTGGAATATATTCAGTCTAATCATATTTAATTTGCATTTGTATATATTCTAGCTAAACGTAAGTGGCATTATATTAATGTAGGAACCGTGGGTTAAAGAAAATTAAATCAATATTGCCAATGCTTAAGTGCTTCTGATGTTATAATATTTTGTTTTATCAGAAGTATGAGACGTTTGTAAGTTGGGATTTTGAAAAAGGAACTCAAAGCATGAACAACTTGTGAGTGCAGCGAGGGAGGGGAATATACACACTATGGCTGCCTTGCTCAAGGAGGGTGTCCTGTCCTGCCCATGACTGCCCGTGCTGACCCACTCCTGCACGCCATCCGACACAGCCAGAGAGACGCTGTACTGATGCTGCTGTCTGCTGGAGCTCCTCTCTGTAATCAGTCCATTGAAGATGTGACACCCCTGGAGGCGGCCCACAACACCCTCGGCCTCCCCGCGGTCTTTCCCGCCATCATGCGCAAGGTACAGTTTAGTTTGGGTCATTTATTATGCACCATATACCCATCCTGTGGGCGGTAGTGGAAAGGGTTACAGAGGCGCATAATGGGCTCAGAGACTGAACCCCACAATTCATTTAGCTGAGCAAGTTATAATCTTGATGAGCTAATAAAATTCATTGCACATCGTCACATCAACAATAGGCTCGAGACCGACCACAAATACACCATCTCTATTCTCAAACACAATGTTGTACTTCATTATTCATGCCAGAGTTATTTGTTACATCTCACTATAGATTAAATCTTACATATTCAAACTCTAGAGGCAATTAATTAATAATTAATAATTAATTAAAAGGAAACGTAATAACGTTTCGTATTATAATAACAGGACAAGTCCGCATAGAAATTAAATTTAATAATTGATATTTAATGAATATTTATAGTGAAAAGTTTCGTTATTCTTAAGTGAGAAAAATATTTAATGAATTGTAAAGACTTAAACAGAGGAAGAATCCTCATAAGAATCTGATTTATTATTTAAGGTTAAAGTATTATTTGTGGTTAAAATTCTATTTAATATAAGATATGGGAAATGATTTGCAACAACTACCTTTAATACTGTGAACATGGCACAGCTGTAGCAGAGAGTTCCAGTGCCACCCGGAGCTCTCAAGCTGAGAAAGCTTAAGAAACTGAAGACAGACATTTGAAATGTCTTGGAAGACATTCATATTCCAGCCTTGTTCAAATCTGGTGACAAGTTTAGATGTATTATATAACTTGGATTACTTAATTTAGCATGTCTGTCATGCCCATTCAATGAGAGGGAGTGGAAAATTTATTTTTCTAGCCATATTTTGGCCCTTTCTTTCAAAAAATTAATAGAGCATTGCTCTAGAGGTATTGAGGAACTGTGCAGAGGTTGATGGCTATTGTTATGTGAATGGGTTGTGATGACCAGTACCAGAGGCAACTCACCATGCATAACTGGCGCTAGTAAGATGGTGTGGTGACATGTTTACATGGTGTGGTGACATGTTTACATCGTGTGATGACTTGTTTACATGGTGTGGGGGCATTTTTACATAGAGTGGAATTATGATAAGGCCACTGTCAGGAAGCTATAATGTGGTTATAACTGTCTCAATAAATTAAAACTCCAGGATAATTTATCAATTATCTGCAAAGAAATTACTTTTATTCTAGGGTTTCTATAAACACATTTTTACTGATGGAAGTGGCGTCAGTTGAATATGCTTGTTTGAAATATTTAATATTTCTTTATATTTTCTTTGCCACCAGGCATACATTGAGAAGCTGGAGATGGAGATGGAGACACAAACGTTAGCTGACTCCAATTCTTCCAACACTGAAGGACTGCTGAAAATGATGAGATCTTACAAACAGAGTGTTAAAAACTATGGGGGGCTTTCAGAAGCTATATTTAAAGATGGACAAAGTATGGAAGCTCGAGACTTACTAAGTTCAGCAGCTGAAAACGGCCTCTCCCTCACCTGCGTTCTGTTGGGGTTGGAGGACATCACTATTCACCCATTAAAAGATGACAAAAATCCTTTCGAAATGGCATTCAACGCGAACCATTTTGATACACAAATCACTCTCTGCAGAGACCTGAACATGGTGCCATTTACCTTCCCTTTACCACCTACGTCACATTTGCCAGCTGCTTTATTGCAAGAGTTTTGGCTGAATGAAATCAAAGTACTAAAGGATATTTGTTCTGGTAAGCACCCCCGTACAAAACTCAACACACAAGATGAAGAGGACTTGAAAACTTATGTCGACCAGCTCATTGAAGCAAAAAGAAGCATAGACTCAGGAAATAAATGGACCTTGCCGTCTCCTGGCAATATTTTTCTGTATCTTTTAGCCAAGCATGATTTAGTTTATATGCTTGTCTTACTGTATGAGAGGTTTAGAAATGTGGATTTAATTCAAGAGGTGGAACCATATTCAAAGTGTACAATACTTCACGTAGCCTCCATGTATGGTCGCCTGGGTGTGATTGAATACCTCTTGTATCGAGATCCTCACCTTGGTAAAGTAACCATAGGGAACTTCTCCGCAGCTCATCTTGCTGCCTTTGGAGGCCACAAGGAATGTTATCAGTACATTCAGGCAAGAATGAATGACAAAGAAAAAAATCTCAAGTGTGATATTGGACTGACAGCTGCAGAAGTAATGACAAAATATGAAGAGTTATGTAAGAGTTGTGAATTACCTTTGATGACTCGTGAGAACGCGCTCTGTGTCAAAAATGAAGTAGGAGATGACAAACGAGCACATGAGCTGTTGCACATTAAAGGAAAGATCTTGGGAATTACCATGCCAGATCATTTGTTACGTGTTGCAGAGAGTATGAAATGTAATGAAGAAAAAGCTGATGAAATAAGAGATAAAATCAAATCAGAAACAGAGAAACTATGTCAATTTATTCCCGACAAGAAGTTTGCTGGTAAAATAGTACCCATTGGACCTCTTATAGAGGGAAATGAGGTTTGTAACATCAGTTATGTGGACTTCATGTACGAGACATCTCCGAAGGAAAAAATAATCTGTACAGCTACAAAAGAGACTGGAAAAATCAATGTCGAGTCAAGTTCTAATCTTCCCAGCGGATCGGTATATAGACAAGAATTTACCAAAAACCTACAGGAAGCAATGAAGAATTATGTCTGCTCATCGTCGGAAATATCATTTGCACCACCATTTCTTCTTCCCACACACAAGGGTGTGTATATACGCTGGGTATGGAACCAGACAAATTTCCATCTTTTGACTTCTTACATTGTGCCAACAGTAGAAGCTCAGCTTAGGTCAAACAGTGATGAAGAGAAGACAGAGTCTGCATATATTGCCAACGTTTATGAAGAGTGGATACATCGTCCATATCACAGTGAGATAGAGTACTTTACAAATCTGAAGACAGATGACAAAAATGTTTGGTTAGCTTGCCGTCTACTCAGAAAGCTTACTATGGAGGTGTGGTGGGCTCCCAGATTCAACACAAAGAGATACACAAAGCCCTGGAACACCTGGTCTGTCGGCATTGAAGGTCTGGCAGAGAGAATTCTTAAGGAACTGTTCAAAGAGGAGATGGATTCCTCTGCAAAAGGGGACAAAAAGCTCCCTTTCGACAGAGTTGTGGCAGTATATAGTCGTGCCGTGGAGAAAGATACAGTGTTAAGAAAATGGGTTCCCAGAAAGGACAATGACTATCATGGAACAGCTTTATCAGTATGTGGGATTCTGGAGTATCTAGAGTCTCTTATGAAAGGTGAAAAAATGTGGGACGCCTAACAGAATTTCATTTATGATAGTTACGACCCATTTTAATTTATTGATGTTAACAATAATGAGTGTACTCTGATTAAAGATTAATTTACCAAATAAAGGGATAAATTAGAAAATGGCATCATAAGATATGTAAATATTTGAGGTGAAATTGGCACTAGTAGAATATCCAGCCATTGTAAATATCTGGCTAAACAGCCGAATATTAGTACTACTCTGCTATTATATTTCTGTTGCAAACAGGTTAAATTTGAGTAGGCTGAAATTGATCAACACTACAGAATCTAACCTGGCAGCTCTCTCTAACTGATCATGTTGAATTATAAAGATAATTGTCATAATTGTTGCATTGACGAATGATTTTATTAGTCTGTACGTTTGAAATAGCATAATAATGTATCGAGGTGAACCTAGCTCAACCAATTTACTTCCATGTTGTCTTCACTCTATGTTTATTCCAGCCCGTCCTCCAAAAATGGGGAGGTAAATGTACAGAGCCCCATAAGTGCAATTATGTACTATGTATAACAGTCAGGAAATGCACTTATTACACTTAGTATTAAAACGTACTGTCAATTCGGAGGATGGGTTGGTTTATTCTGAGGTCTCCGAGATATATTGACAAGTATTATACTCTTTCAGCTGAGCTTAATTTGTTTCAAATGTAACACAGATTGAAGCTAAACTTGTATATGTACAAATAAAAGATGAATGCAATTTTTTTATTACAACAATTCTTTGAGGTTCAAATGTTGTTAATTACAGCTTTTTTACACATTATATACATGTAAATATATTATATTTGCTAAAGGCCCGATTTGCCTAATAGGCCGAGTGATTTTCTTCATTTTCATAAAAAATTTCCACTTGGGTTATTTTAAATATAATTATTATATTTTAAGAACATAAATTATTGACTTAGTTATGTTAGTTTAGGTTAGGTTAAGATAGGTTAGGTTAGGTAGGGTAGGTTAGGTTCGGTCATATATCTACGTTAGTTTTAACTCAAATTAAGAAAAATGAACTCATACATAATGACAAGGAAGGTTTGTGGGTTTAAAATTCGGGAGGGTGTGAGGAAGGGGAACCCCATCTAGTAGGGGTTATAAACCCATGGAACAGCATATCTGCCGAAGCTGTAAATGCCAAGACCAGTTCTTCAAATGCTTCAGTTCAAAATTCAGTTAGTGAAAATCCTTAGGAACAATGGGGGGGGCGACTTTACACCAGCCGCCAGTTACTTTTCCCCTCGAAACCACTAGAAATTGAAAATAATAATCAAAAAGGAAAAACACCAAACCATTGCGGCTATATAGCACTTGGGAGAGGGTTGGGATGGGACGGGGGGAAGGAATGGTGCCCCAACCACTTGGACGGTCGGGGATTGAACGCCGACCTGCATGAAACGAGACCGTTAGAGAAATAGTGGCCCTTAGGTAAATTCATACAAATCGCAGTCATCCTGTGCACCACATTAATAATGAGTTTTTCCCGGGAGCTATTGACACGTTAGCTATCGTGTCGTCTCTGACAGTAATTCCTTATTAATAATGTCAAGTTACCCAGCTTGAATTATTACTGTTTTTAATCTCTTATTTTGTATTCAAATTACGACCATTTTCAATAACATCACTTGACCCTCGAGTTGCGTTTCCTTAGAATCACGTAAATTTTCTTTATACAAAAAAACTAGTTTATGCTCCTTACATGATGTTTATTATTAAAATATATATATACTGTATATATAATTTAATTATTAATTAACATTACAAGTACGGGTGTACACATAAATCAGAGAGCAGACTCTGATCGCAACAAAGATTATACGTGTCATTATTTCTAAGTTCCATAATTCACTCCCGCACAAGCCACAACAATAGGCTATACGCTGAGAGTTGTATTTCTCGGTGTATATACATTAAAGCCTTGATCCTTGATCCAGTCGACAAGCATTAAATATTAACACCTAACCATGACACTGAATATTAAGTAACATTTAAACTAAGTGTCAAAGTAGGAATTTGTGGCCCCCAAGAAGTCTAAACGAATTTCACTTTAGGAATTTTGTCTTGCTTGGCCTGAGCCGCCTTCAGTTCCTCCAGATATTCCACAATGCCACACACAGAGAGCTTCTCATCACAGCAATAGTGATGTGGGGGCAAAAAGGAGGTGATTTGCTCCTTAGGAACCCATTTTCCTCTCATATCTCTCTTGGCTGCTCGACAAAAAACGGAAGTAATCCTCTTGAACATATGATGGGTAGAATCCCATTCCTCAGCCTCAGCAAGTTCCCTGAGGAACAGTGACTTGAGTGCTCGTTCTGGAAGACCCTGAACTGCCAGTGTCAGGGTGTGCCACGGCTGTTTATGCCACCTGTTGCTGAACTCTGGCACCCACCAGCACCCCTTCACCAGCTGGTTCAACATACGACATGCTAGCCAAACTTTTCGCTGATTGGTCCCCAGGTTACTGAAGATGGCGTCCTCATACAAGTACGTGCGGTACATCCAGTGGTTGTGGACGTTAGCGATATGGAGACATAAATTTTGGTTCGCATCTACAAATTGGCTGGCACATTTAGGTAAATTGCCAAAGCTGTTTTTGTAAGAACATGTTGCTGGCAGGACAGGTACAACAGAAGTCCTGATTAGTTTGATGTTATCGGCATTGTGCCACAGCCAATATAAACACACTCCATTTTCTGTGGCAGCTGCAAATGGCGGTGCCAGCGACATATGTGGCAGTAATGTTTTATAATCTTTTAATAAATCATATACTATTTGAACAAAAGAATTCTTGAAGGCATCAAATGTGAAGAGGTCCATTTGTGAGTGTGATTTGACCTCCACTCTTGTTTTGTCATCAGTGACAATATCGCTGAGTGTGAGAGGTGTCCAGGATGGTGAGGCCTCCTGACCACATACTTCATAGATAAAACTCACGTGATCTATGTTGAACACTTCGTTGCCCTCCACTGCTGAACCAACAGGAATAAGTTTTCCTTGGAATCTCGGATCATTGATACGTTTACAAAAGTGTCTTAATTCTTCTTTAACTGTACTTACAAATTCATGCGTGCTAGACCTTTCACACGAGGATTCAAGTGCAACATTCAGCAGATCTTCAGGAAGACGTATGTTTAGAATTTTTCCTTTTATTTGTAACATTTTATAGGCTCGCGCATCTTCTCCTCTTTCATTCTTCACACAGAGGGCATCTGCGTGAGATAGCAACGGCAACTTACAATTTCCGCAAAGATTTTCATACTTAGTCATCAACTCTAGTGCAGTCAGTCCCAGGAGACAGGTGTGGTCCACTCTGGCTCCTAGATGAGCCATGTATGCCAGGATATACTGGAGACACTTGGGGCGGCCAGTCACAGCTGCCAAGTGAGCTGCCGTGAAGTTGCCTGTTGTCACTGCCTCTGAATCAACGCCGTGATGCAACACATATTCAACAATGTTGATCTGACCAAATATGGTGGCAACATGCAACATTGTACCACGTGAAGCACTATCTACTATTTGGTTCATGTTAACATTTGTCCACCTGCTAAGAAGCGTGTGAAGTAGTGCGACTAAGCCGTGCTTAGCTATCAAGAACAACAGCTGAGTACTAGGCTCCTGCAGCAAGTGACGACTATGTTCGCCAGTGCAGATTTTCATAAGATCAATCACTTCTTGTAATGTTTCCTTCATTAACATTACATTATTATTACTTTCCGTAGAACAGTAATTTTCAAGTGCCTGACACTCACTGACTGAATAATTGTTAAGATATTTAGATGTCAAAGTGTCATGATGAACTGTGCCACAAGTGACAGGTGCGAGCTTCAAGTCTCTGTACAAGACCGCCTGTGTATCAGTCTGCATGTGAGATATGGCTTTCTTGAGTGGGCTTTCTTCTCCGGGAAGTGAATGAAAGTACATGCTTTCCAGTCCCAGCAGCTGACAAGTAAAGGCAAGACCCATATGAGCAGCTTGCGTGAGGAGAGTGCGGGCCTCCGCCACCCGGCGTTGTGGCTCTGTGCTTGAGAAAATCCACCGGGCTCTGCTGCCCACGTCCATTACTTGAACACTGTAGTCACTCATGGCTTTTCGTAGCGTTTTCATCGACTCATTCTCCTGGCTCACTCTCGTCATCTCATCTTCCAGCCGCTCACAGTATGCCTGGAGGAATACTAAGATGAGATCATGCCAAAAAAAGACACTAATATAGAGGATAAAAGGGGAAAATTAATGAAAGAAGAAAAACTACAAGATGGACAAAAAGGAAAAAAAGAGGAACTGATGAAACAATTTCAGGACTTTCGAAAATCACAAAAAAATTGACTTAGGGTATTATAACTGCAGCAAAAGAGAATCCGGAGAATAATGCAACAAGAGGGTAAACATTGGGACTGCAGGCAGAGTCCCGATGTCCTATTTGCAAATCTTGCTTCTAATGACGTTATTTATTGTTTTGCTATTCTCTCTCCAAAGCTTCTGTATCTTTTTAAATGGATACAGAAGCTTTGGCGAGAGAAAAACAAATAACAAATAAAGTCATTATAAGTAAGATTACAAAAAGAGGAGAAAAAGCCGATCAGCAAAACATTGAGGAAATACTAGAAAAACTAACTGATAGATATGATCTAAGCATTTCCCAGGTAGAGGGAAATTTCAAGCAGTCGAAGTTATATGCTAAAAAAAAAAATCATAAACAACTGGAAGAATGTAACTTTTACATACCCCAAGATCTCACAGTGAGACAGGAAAAGCATTGACAAAGAATTAAGATACAAATTACACTAGAGGTCAGGCGAACAAGATAACAGAAGAGGAGGATTAAGTCCTCTACTCAGTGAAGATGGTGTACCTTGCGCATGATGGCGGGAAAGACCGCGGGGAGGCCGAGGGTGTTGTGGGCCGCCTCCAGGGGTGTCACGCCCTCAATGGTCTGACTGCAAAAAGGAGCTCCAGCAGACAGCAGCATCAGTACAGCGTCTCTCTGGCTGTGTCGGATGGCGTGCAGGAGTGGGTCAGCACGGGCAGTCACGGGCATAATGGGTACACCCTCCAGCAGAAGGGCACGGATGGCGCCAGTGTTGCCCTGCTCCGCCGCTGAGACCAGCTCTTCTTGTCTACCGGCTCTCTCGTCAGTGGTCCTCTCTCCCAGCTCCTCACACTTCTGACGGAACAGTACTAACATTACTAGCACCAACAATATATATTCATTGGAATATGACAGTGTCAGACCACGAAGCAAGAATTGAAACAGGAATTTCCTTAAGTACTTTCGTATTTAACAATATATCTTCAGAAGGGAAGACTTCATCTATTGGTACAATGTAATACCCATACTGTACTACCAACCTGTTGGTACAATATTATACCCATAATGTACTACCAACCTGCTGAAAAAACTGCGCAAGGCGATGGTTGTTGGCAGCAGCAGCTAAGTGTTGAGGTAGCTGACCTTGGCAGTCAGGGATCCTGGGGTCACAACCGTAGGAGGTCAAGATCCTGGCCAGGGATAACCAGGCCTCCGACACCTCCCAGGCCCTCCCGTCCCACATGACGTCCCCGTCAGCGGCCTGAGGGTGCTTGGCTAGGTCGTGCAGGGGTGTGCGGCCTGTGCTCAAACCGTGCTTAAGTGACACATTTATTTATTTATTTTGTTATTTATATGTATACAAGAAGGTACTTTGGGTTTATGAGAGTACATAGCATTGATGT